AGTAGTTGCTATGACGACATGTAAATGTCTTGTAGCGCCACTTACACCACTAACATCTACTGTGATGTATCCTTCCTTGCGTGTAATTTGGTCTTCTGTGAATTTCTTAATTTTATCATTATTACCATCAATATCTTGATCTCCAAGAGCAGCTTGGTATTATCGGTGAAAATGTAGTATACTTTTTTGATGGCTGCTGCAGATCCTGTTTCTATCTTGAGCTTGTAACTGCCTGCCTCCTCGATTCTGCTTGCTTGACCTTCATCGGTATTGACAATTGAAGCACCGCTGATTTTTGGATAAATTTTGATTTCCTTTTTGAATTCTCAGATCTTAAATCTGTGGTCACTTGATCTACTGTTTGAGTAGTTGCTATGACGACATGTAAATGTCTTGTAGCGCCACTTACACCACTAACATCTACTGTGATGTATCCTTCCTTGCGTGTAATTTGGTCTTCTGTGAATTTCTTAATTTTATCATTATTACCATCAATATCTTGATCTCCAAGAGCAGCTTGGTCATTATCGGTGAAAATGTAGTATACTTTTTTGATGGCTGCTGCAGATCCTGTTTCTATCTTGAGCTTGTAACTGCCTGCCTCCTCGATTCTGCTTGCTTGACCTTCATCGGTATTGACAATTGAAGCACCGCTGATTTTTGGATAAATTTTGATTTCCTTTTTGAATTCATCAGATCTTAAATCTGTGGTCACTTGATCTACTGTTTGAGTAGTTGCTATGACGACATGTAAATGTCTTGTAGCGCCACTTACACCACTAACATCTACTGTGATGTATCCTTCCTTGCGTGTAATTTGGTCTTCTGTGAATTTCTTAATTTTATCATTATTACCATCAATATCTTGATCTCCAAGAGCAGCTTGGTCATTATCGGTGAAAATGTAGTATACTTTTTTGATGGCTGCTGCAGATCCTGTTTCTATCTTGAGCTTGTAACTGCCTGCCTCCTCGATTCTGCTTGCTTGACCTTCATCGGTATTGACAATTGAAGCACCGCTGATTTTTGGATAAATTTTGATTTCCTTTTTGAATTCATCAGATCTTAAATCTGTGGTCACTTGATCTACTGTTTGAGTAGTTGCTATGACGACATGTAAATGTCTTGTAGCGCCACTTACACCACTAACATCTACTGTGATGTATCCTTCCTTGCGTGTAATTTGGTCTTCTGTGAATTTCTTAATTTTATCATTATTACCATCAATATCTTGATCTCCAAGAGCAGCTTGGTCATTATCGGTGAAAATGTAGTATACTTTTTTGATGGCTGCTGCAGATCCTGTTTCTATCTTGAGCTTGTAACTGCCTGCCTCCTCGATTCTGCTTGCTTGACCTTCATCGGTATTGACAATTGAAGCACCGCTGATTTTTGGATAAATTTTGATTTCCTTTTTGAATTCATCAGATCTTAAATCTGTGGTCACTTGATCTACTGTTTGAGTAGTTGCTATGACGACATGTAAATGTCTTGTAGCGCCACTTACACCACTAACATCTACTGTGATGTATCCTTCCTTGCGTGTAATTTGGTCTTCTGTGAATTTCTTAATTTTATCATTATTACCATCAATATCTTGATCTCCAAGAGCAGCTTGGTCATTATCGGTGAAAATGTAGTATACTTTTTTGATGGCTGCTGCAGATCCTGTTTCTATCTTGAGCTTGTAACTGCCTGCCTCCTCGATTCTGCTTGCTTGACCTTCATCGGTATTGACAATTGAAGCACCGCTGATTTTTGGATAAATTTTGATTTCCTTTTTGAATTCTCAGATCTTAAATCTGTGGTCACTTGATCTACTGTTTGAGTAGTTGCTATGACGACATGTAAATGTCTTGTAGCGCCACTTACACCACTAACATCTACTGTGATGTATCCTTCCTTGCGTGTAATTTGGTCTTCTGTGAATTTCTTAATTTTATCATTATTACCATCAATATCTTGATCTCCAAGAGCAGCTTGGTCATTATCGGTGAAAATGTAGTATACTTTTTTGATGGCTGCTGCAGATCCTGTTTCTATCTTGAGCTTGTAACTGCCTGCCTCCTCGATTCTGCTTGCTTGACCTTCATCGGTATTGACAATTGAAGCACCGCTGATTTTTGGATAAATTTTGATTTCCTTTTTGAATTCATCAGATCTTAAATCTGTGGTCACTTGATCTACTGTTTGAGTAGTTGCTATGACGACATGTAAATGTCTTGTAGCGCCACTTACACCACTAACATCTACTGTGATGTATCCTTCCTTGCGTGTAATTTGGTCTTCTGTGAATTTCTTAATTTTATCATTATTACCATCAATATCTTGATCTCCAAGAGCAGCTTGGTCATTATCGGTGAAAATGTAGTATACTTTTTTGATGGCTGCTGCAGATCCTGTTTCTATCTTGAGCTTGTAACTGCCTGCCTCCTCGATTCTGCTTGCTTGACCTTCATCGGTATTGACAATTGAAGCACCGCTGATTTTTGGATAAATTTTGATTTCCTTTTTGAATTCATCAGATCTTAAATCTGTGGTCACTTGATCTACTGTTTGAGTAGTTGCTATGACGACATGTAAATGTCTTGTAGCGCCACTTACACCACTAACATCTACTGTGATGTATCCTTCCTTGCGTGTAATTTGGTCTTCTGTGAATTTCTTAATTTTATCATTATTACCATCAATATCTTGATCTCCAAGAGCAGCTTGGTCATTATCGGTGAAAATGTAGTATACTTTTTTGATGGCTGCTGCAGATCCTGTTCTATCTTGAGCTTGTAACTGCCTGCCTCCTCGATTCTGCTTGCTTGACCTTCATCGGTATTGACAATTGAAGCACCGCTGATTTTTGGATAAATTTTGATTTCCTTTTTGAATTCATCAGATCTTAAATCTGTGGTCACTTGATCTACTGTTTGAGTAGTTGCTATGACGACATGTAAATGTCTTGTAGCGCCACTTACACCACTAACATCTACTGTGATGTATCCTTCCTTGCGTGTAATTTGGTCTTCTGTGAATTTCTTAATTTTATCATTATTACCATCAATATCTTGATCTCCAAGAGCAGCTTGGTCATTATCGGTGAAAATGTAGTATACTTTTTTGATGGCTGCTGCAGATCCTGTTTCTATCTTGAGCTTGTAACTGCCTGCCTCCTCGATTCTGCTTGCTTGACCTTCATCGGTATTGACAATTGAAGCACCGCTGATTTTTGGATAAATTTTGATTTCCTTTTTGAATTCCTCAGATCTTAAATCTGTGGTCACTTGATCTACTGTTTGAGTAGTTGCTATGACGACATGTAAATGTCTTGTAGCGCCACTTACACCACTAACATCTACTGTGATGTATCCTTCCTTGCGTGTAATTTGGTCTTCTGTGAATTTCTTAATTTTATCATTATTACCATCAATATCTTGATCTCCAAGAGCAGCTTGGTCATTATCGGTGAAAATGTAGTATACTTTTTTGATGGCTGCTGCAGATCCTGTTTCTATCTTGAGCTTGTAACTGCCTGCCTCCTCGATTCTGCTTGCTTGACCTTCATCGGTATTGACAATTGAAGCACCGCTGATTTTTGGATAAATTTTGATTTCCTTTTTGAATTCATCAGATCTTAAATCTGTGGTCACTTGATCTACTGTTTGAGTAGTTGCTATGACGACATGTAAATGTCTTGTAGCGCCACTTACACCACTAACATCTACTGTGATGTATCCTTCCTTGCGTGTAATTTGGTCTTCTGTGAATTTCTTAATTTTATCATTATTACCATCAATATCTTGATCTCCAAGAGCAGCTTGGTTATTATCGGTGAAAATGTAGTATACTTTTTTGATGGCTGCTGCAGATCCTGTTTCTATCTTGAGCTTGTAACTGCCTGCCTCCTCGATTCTGCTTGCTTGACCTTCATCGGTATTGACAATTGAAGCACCGCTGATTTTTGGATAAATTTTGATTTCCTTTTTGAATTCATCAGATCTTAAATCTGTGGTCACTTGATCTACTGTTTGAGTAGTTGCTATGACGACATGTAAATGTCTTGTAGCGCCACTTACACCACTAACATCTACTGTGATGTATCCTTCCTTGCGTGTAATTTGGTCTTCTGTGAATTTCTTAATTTTATCATTATTACCATCAATATCTTGATCTCCAAGAGCAGCTTGGTCATTATCGGTGAAAATGTAGTATACTTTTTTGATGGCTGCTGCAGATCCTGTTTCTATCTTGAGCTTGTAACTGCCTGCCTCCTCGATTCTGCTTGCTTGACCTTCATCGGTATTGACAATTGAAGCACCGCTGATTTTTGGATAAATTTTGATTTCCTTTTTGAATTCATCAGATCTTAAATCTGTGGTCACTTGATCTACTGTTTGAGTAGTTGCTATGACGACATGTAAATGTCTTGTAGCGCCACTTACACCACTAACATCTACTGTGATGTATCCTTCCTTGCGTGTAATTTGGTCTTCTGTGAATTTCTTAATTTTATCATTATTACCATCAATATCTTGATCTCCAAGAGCAGCTTGGTTTATCGGTGAAAATGTAGTATACTTTTTTGATGGCTGCTGCAGATCCTGTTTCTATCTTGAGCTTGTAACTGCCTGCCTCCTCGATTCTGCTTGCTTGACCTTCATCGGTATTGACAATTGAAGCACCGCTGATTTTTGGATAAATTTTGATTTCCTTTTTGAATTCCTCAGATCTTAAATCTGTGGTCACTTGATCTACTGTTTGAGTAGTTGCTATGACGACATGTAAATGTCTTGTAGCGCCACTTACACCACTAACATCTACTGTGATGTATCCTTCCTTGCGTGTAATTTGGTCTTCTGTGAATTTCTTAATTTTATCATTATTACCATCAATATCTTGATCTCCAAGAGCAGCTTGGTTATTATCGGTGAAAATGTAGTATACTTTTTTGATGGCTGCTGCAGATCCTGTTTCTATCTTGAGCTTGTAACTGCCTGCCTCCTCGATTCTGCTTGCTTGACCTTCATCGGTATTGACAATTGAAGCACCGCTGATTTTTGGATAAATTTTGATTTCCTTTTTGAATTCATCAGATCTTAAATCTGTGGTCACTTGATCTACTGTTTGAGTAGTTGCTATGACGACATGTAAATGTCTTGTAGCGCCACTTACACCACTAACATCTACTGTGATGTATCCTTCCTTGCGTGTAATTTGGTCTTCTGTGAATTTCTTAATTTTATCATTATTACCATCAATATCTTGATCTCCAAGAGCAGCTTGGTCATTATCGGTGAAAATGTAGTATACTTTTTTGATGGCTGCTGCAGATCCTGTTTCTATCTTGAGCTTGTAACTGCCTGCCTCCTCGATTCTGCTTGCTTGACCTTCATCGGTATTGACAATTGAAGCACCGCTGATTTTTGGATAAATTTTGATTTCCTTTTTGAATTCATCAGATCTTAAATCTGTGGTCACTTGATCTACTGTTTGAGTAGTTGCTATGACGACATGTAAATGTCTTGTAGCGCCACTTACACCACTAACATCTACTGTGATGTATCCTTCCTTGCGTGTAATTTGGTCTTCTGTGAATTTCTTAATTTTATCATTATTACCATCAATATCTTGATCTCCAAGAGCAGCTTGGTTATTATCGGTGAAAATGTAGTATACTTTTTTGATGGCTGCTGCAGATCCTGTTTCTATCTTGAGCTTGTAACTGCCTGCCTCCTCGATTCTGCTTGCTTGACCTTCATCGGTATTGACAATTGATATATCAGTTACAACTGGTTTATTATTGCTTGTTTGTTCTAATTTATTTGAACCTTCTATTAATTTAAATTGTACGAACGTCAATACATTCAGCATTATCTAAAATGATTTCAAAGCCTTATCAATTAATTCAATTTTTTCTGAATTATTACATTCCATTTCGTATTTTATTTATTTATTTTAACTATATTGATATAATTTTCAATTGTTCTTTCACTTCAATCCAATATATATAAAAACCATTTAAAAGTGCACATTTAATACTTTTTGATCTAATTAAATTTCTTTTCAAACATTCATAATAAACATTTTCAAAAAAAATTCAATTGCTCATCAAAAACTTCAATCCAATATATATATAAAAACCATTTAAAAGTGCACATTCAATACTTTTTGATCTAATTAAATTTCTTTTCAAACATTCATAATAAACATTTTCAAAAAAAAATTCAATTGCTCATCAAAAACTTCCAAATTGAAAACAATTTAATTAATTTTTTTTTACTAAAATCCTCAATATTGCCCTAATTGTTTGATTAAATTTCCAAATTTTACCGAATTAGATTTTACACTTTTCTGACTTTTTGTCAGGGAACGAAGCGACCCAAAAAATATCGGAAAAGTGTAATTCTCAGTAATATGATTAATTTTTCCATTTAACACCGAACAGCATTTGAATCAAAAATAATCGCATGGCTGAGAATTTAATTTTTGGAATTCAATATTAAAATTATTCTTCTCTTCGATCAATGATAAATCTAGAAAATCATTTTCAGAAAACTTTCTGAATTCTTCTCCGTTGAAAAGTTTCACGTTATATTATGTATTTCATATTTTCCTAACTATCATATATTTATTTTCAAACAAGAATTAATAATATATTGCAACTCAAAATTAAATTTTTTCTAAAGATTTTTGACGTTATGTATTTTAAAGAATTCTCAGCAAACATTTATATAAATGATTTTATTTTTGAAGTTTTTGAAGTAAATTACTCGAATGATTCAAATTGGGTATGAAGAATCAGTATTTAGGTTAAGGATCTCGTATGGAGAAAAATCTTCTCCAACTCTAAACTTCAGTTTGGAGACACTTTACAAATTGTAAACTTCAAATTGGCAAAATATATATATAAATATCAGTCATGTTCCTAAATTTAACAAGCTTGTGCTCAAACTTGATATGTAGGAAGTACTTAACATTTAATTAAGAATTGGCAAATTATATCAAGGAATATTTTTGTAATTTCATGAATAATATAAATGAAAGTAATCAACATAGAAATGCGAAAGCAAACTCCCTTAGGCTAAACTGATTTTATTGGGAATCAATGAAAAATATTTTAGATTTAATTTTATCGATGATCTAAGAGAGATTATTAATAGATTAGATGAAAACTATAGTAGTTTTATTTGTATTATCAAATAAAGATTATTTTAAATTGAATATGCATAAAAAATCTGTGATATGATATTTTGTGGTAGTGACTAATATCTATAGTTGAAATATAATATAAACTCGCCATAAATGCTGATTAGCATTCAAGAAATTTAATTTTAAAACCGTCTATAATTCTATTTGCCTGATCTATAGATTATAACGGTGGACTGCATTATTAGGTTTGCTTAAGACAAAGTATTTTAATAACTTGTTTTAAGATATGAGAAACAGACACAACTAATTAAAACATTTTCTGTCAGGTGATACAATAATCAATTGATAATATTATGCTTTTAGTTATAGAAGAAAAATGCTTTTACAAAAAATATAAATATAAAGATCAATGAAGTTAAACATATACACCAGAACCAGAATCTTCTTTCATATCAGAAGAAGATCTATCATTTGATGGTTTCTTACAGAAAATGAAATAGACAATAAGTACAATAATAACAATGCCAAGAAGAACGGCAAATACAATTCCTACAATTTGGCCGCCAGATAATCCTCCCTTAGAAGGAGATGATGTTGGATTTGGTTGTTCTCCTGAAACATATTTTGTCTTCTCAAGTTTAATCTCTTTAGAGAAGACATTTGAAGGTGGTTGTTCATCGGATTGAGCAGTTCTGATCCGAAGCTTAGCTTCTTCTGAATCTCTAATTTCATCGATTTTAGGAGCTGGTATGGTAAGTTGATATGTTTTGCCATCATCAGCTAGGAGCTTCTTAGAAGATGTACTCGAACCGCTAGAAATTTCTTTAACATTCTTTTCAGGAAGTGGAATATAACTTTGATCTTCATAGAATTTATATTCGAATTTTCCTGTCCTTTCCTCAAAATGCTTGAATTGAATAATAACAATGATTGGCTCTTCTGCTTTATATGCTTCTTTAACTTCAGAATTATCTGGTGATTCTGTTATGTATGGCGACTGTTTAACATCAATCTTTAATGCTTTTTCTGCTTTTTGTCCAGCAGGATCTTTAATAGATAATTTGACTGTGATTTGTTGGTTATTAGGGATTTCGGATGGAGCTTTGATTGTAAATTGATAAAATCCATCATCATTCTTAGTTAACAAAGCAGGTTCTGGTGTTTGAGAGTTAATTTGATACATCGGAGAAGCCTTTGAGGCATCATCTTCTACTACATCAGCTTTAAATGAAAGATTGATTAATTGATCAGCTGAATATTTAACATTTTTATCAGAATTCATATCTTTAAAATCTGAAATGGTTGGAGGGGCACAAATTATAATATTATCAATTTTTTGTTCAGAAACAATTGAATGATCAAAAATTAAAGCAACAAATATCGGATCATAGTTGGAAGCTTTGATTGTATCGGGAATTTGCATTGAATATTTATTTTCAGTAAATTGAACATGTAAATTGTATCCAGAAACAGAATCTGGTTTGGAAGTCTGCCTAGCAGCAAGAATCGAATATCCTTGATTTGAACTTGGAAAATCGATTGTGATTGGCAAGACAATTGTATCAGAAATTTTATAATAAACTTTTCCAGGAGTTTGAATTAAATTAATAGTTGGATTGTCATGTTTGCCAAATATGATTTTAATGAATTCCTCAGATCTTAAATCTGTGGTCACTTGATCTACTGTTTGAGTAGTTGCTATGACGACATGTAAATGTCTTGTAGCGCCACTTACACCACTAACATCTACTGTGATGTATCCTTCCTTGCGTGTAATTTGGTCTTCTGTGAATTTCTTAATTTTATCATTATTACCATCAATATCTTGATCTCCAAGAGCAGCTTGGTTATTATCGGTGAAAATGTAGTATACTTTTTTGATGGCTGCTGCAGATCCTGTTTCTATCTTGAGCTTGTAACTGCCTGCCTCCTCGATTCTGCTTGCTTGACCTTCATCGGTATTGACAATTGAAGCACCGCTGATTTTTGGATAAATTTTGATTTCCTTTTTGAATTCATCAGATCTTAAATCTGTGGTCACTTGATCTACTGTTTGAGTAGTTGCTATGACGACATGTAAATGTCTTGTAGCGCCACTTACACCAACATCTACTGTGATGTATCCTTCCTTGCGTGTAATTTGGTCTTCTGTGAATTTCTTAATTTTATCATTATTACCATCAATATCTTGATCTCCAAGAGCAGCTTGGTCATTATCGGTGAAAATGTAGTATACTTTTTTGATGGCTGCTGCAGATCCTGTTTCTATCTTGAGCTTGTAACTGCCTGCCTCCTCGATTCTGCTTGCTTGACCTTCATCGGTATTGACAATTGAAGCACCGCTGATTTTTGGATAAATTTTGATTTCCTTTTTGAATTCATCAGATCTTAAATCTGTGGTCACTTGATCTACTGTTTGAGTAGTTGCTATGACGACATGTAAATGTCTTGTAGCGCCACTTACACCACTAACATCTACTGTGATGTATCCTTCCTTGCGTGTAATTTGGTCTTCTGTGAATTTCTTAATTTTATCATTATTACCATCAATATCTTGATCTCCAAGAGCAGCTTGGTCATTATCGGTGAAAATGTAGTATACTTTTTTGATGGCTGCTGCAGATCCTGTTTCTATCTTGAGCTTGTAACTGCCTGCCTCCTCGATTCTGCTTGCTTGACCTTCATCGGTATTGACAATTGAAGCACCGCTGATTTTTGGATAAATTTTGATTTCCTTTTTGAATTCATCAGATCTTAAATCTGTGGTCACTTGATCTACTGTTTGAGTAGTTGCTATGACGACATGTAAATGTCTTGTAGCGCCACTTACACCACTAACATCTACTGTGATGTATCCTTCCTTGCGTGTAATTTGGTCTTCTGTGAATTTCTTAATTTTATCATTATTACCATCAATATCTTGATCTCCAAGAGCAGCTTGGTTATTATCGGTGAAAATGTAGTATACTTTTTTGATGGCTGCTGCAGATCCTGTTTCTATCTTGAGCTTGTAACTGCCTGCCTCCTCGATTCTGCTTGCTTGACCTTCATCGGTATTGACAATTGAAGCACCGCTGATTTTTGGATAAATTTTGATTTCCTTTTTGAATTCATCAGATCTTAAATCTGTGGTCACTTGATCTACTGTTTGAGTAGTTGCTATGACGACATGTAAATGTCTTGTAGCGCCACTTACACCACTAACATCTACTGTGATGTATCCTTCCTTGCGTGTAATTTGGTCTTCTGTGAATTTCTTAATTTTATCATTATTACCATCAATATCTTGATCTCCAAGAGCAGCTTGGTCATTATCGGTGAAAATGTAGTATACTTTTTTGATGGCTGCTGCAGATCCTGTTTCTATCTTGAGCTTGTAACTGCCTGCCTCCTCGATTCTGCTTGCTTGACCTTCATCGGTATTGACAATTGAAGCACCGCTGATTTTTGGATAAATTTTGATTTCCTTTTTGAATTCATCAGATCTTAAATCTGTGGTCACTTGATCTACTGTTTGAGTAGTTGCTATGACGACATGTAAATGTCTTGTAGCGCCACTTACACCACTAACATCTACTGTGATGTATCCTTCCTTGCGTGTAATTTGGTCTTCTGTGAATTTCTTAATTTTATCATTATTACCATCAATATCTTGATCTCCAAGAGCAGCTTGGTCATTATCGGTGAAAATGTAGTATACTTTTTTGATGGCTGCTGCAGATCCTGTTTCTATCTTGAGCTTGTAACTGCCTGCCTCCTCGATTCTGCTTGCTTGACCTTCATCGGTATTGACAATTGAAGCACCGCTGATTTTTGGATAAATTTTGATTTCCTTTTTGAATTCATCAGATCTTAAATCTGTGGTCACTTGATCTACTGTTTGAGTAGTTGCTATGACGACATGTAAATGTCTTGTAGCGCCACTTACACCACTAACATCTACTGTGATGTATCCTTCCTTGCGTGTAATTTGGTCTTCTGTGAATTTCTTAATTTTATCATTATTACCATCAATATCTTGATCTCCAAGAGCAGCTTGGTCATTATCGGTGAAAATGTAGTATACTTTTTTGATGGCTGCTGCAGATCCTGTTTCTATCTTGAGCTTGTAACTGCCTGCCTCCTCGATTCTGCTTGCTTGACCTTCATCGGTATTGACAATTGAAGCACCGCTGATTTTTGGATAAATTTTGATTTCCTTTTTGAATTCATCAGATCTTAAATCTGTGGTCACTTGATCTACTGTTTGAGTAGTTGCTATGACGACATGTAAATGTCTTGTAGCGCCACTTACACCACTAACATCTACTGTGATGTATCCTTCCTTGCGTGTAATTTGGTCTTCTGTGAATTTCTTAATTTTATCATTATTACCATCAATATCTTGATCTCCAAGAGCAGCTTGGTCATTATCGGTGAAAATGTAGTATACTTTTTTGATGGCTGCTGCAGATCCTGTTTCTATCTTGAGCTTGTAACTGCCTGCCTCCTCGATTCTGCTTGCTTGACCTTCATCGGTATTGACAATTGAAGCACCGCTGATTTTTGGATAAATTTTGATTTCCTTTTTGAATTCATCAGATCTTAAATCTGTGGTCACTTGATCTACTGTTTGAGTAGTTGCTATGACGACATGTAAATGTCTTGTAGCGCCACTTACACCACTAACATCTACTGTGATGTATCCTTCCTTGCGTGTAATTTGGTCTTCTGTGAATTTCTTAATTTTATCATTATTACCATCAATATCTTGATCTCCAAGAGCAGCTTGGTCATTATCGGTGAAAATGTAGTATACTTTTTTGATGGCTGCTGCAGATCCTGTTTCTATCTTGAGCTTGTAACTGCCTGCCTCCTCGATTCTGCTTGCTTGACCTTCATCGGTATTGACAATTGAAGCACCGCTGATTTTTGGATAAATTTTGATTTCCTTTTTGAATTCATCAGATCTTAAATCTGTGGTCACTTGATCTACTGTTTGAGTAGTTGCTATGACGACATGTAAATGTCTTGTAGCGCCACTTACACCACTAACATCTACTGTGATGTATCCTTCCTTGCGTGTAATTTGGTCTTCTGTGAATTTCTTAATTTTATCATTATTACCATCAATATCTTGATCTCCAAGAGCAGCTTGGTTATTATCGGTGAAAATGTAGTATACTTTTTTGATGGCTGCTGCAGATCCTGTTTCTATCTTGAGCTTGTAACTGCCTGCCTCCTCGATTCTGCTTGCTTGACCTTCATCGGTATTGACAATTGAAGCACCGCTGATTTTTGGATAAATTTTGATTTCCTTTTTGAATTCATCAGATCTTAAATCTGTGGTCACTTGATCTACTGTTTGAGTAGTTGCTATGACGACATGTAAATGTCTTGTAGCGCCACTTACACCACTAACATCTACTGTGATGTATCCTTCCTTGCGTGTAATTTGGTCTTCTGTGAATTTCTTAATTTTATCATTATTACCATCAATATCTTGATCTCCAAGAGCAGCTTGGTCATTATCGGTGAAAATGTAGTATACTTTTTTGATGGCTGCTGCAGATCCTGTTTCTATCTTGAGCTTGTAACTGCCTGCCTCCTCGATTCTGCTTGCTTGACCTTCATCGGTATTGACAATTGAAGCACCGCTGATTTTTGGATAAATTTTGATTTCCTTTTTGAATTCATCAGATCTTAAATCTGTGGTCACTTGATCTACTGTTTGAGTAGTTGCTATGACGACATGTAAATGTCTTGTAGCGCCACTTACACCACTAACATCTACTGTGATGTATCCTTCCTTGCGTGTAATTTGGTCTTCTGTGAATTTCTTAATTTTATCATTATTACCATCAATATCTTGATCTCCAAGAGCAGCTTGGTTATTATCGGTGAAAATGTAGTATACTTTTTTGATGGCTGCTGCAGATCCTGTTTCTATCTTGAGCTTGTAACTGCCTGCCTCCTCGATTCTGCTTGCTTGACCTTCATCGGTATTGACAATTGATATATCAGTTACAACTGGTTTATTATTGCTTGTTTGTTCTAATTTATTTGAACCTTCTATTAATTTAAATTGTACGAACGTCAATACATTCAGCATTATCTAAAATGATTTCAAAGCCTTATCAATTAATTCAATTTTTTCTGAATTATTACATTCCATTTCGTATTTTATTTATTTATTTTAACTATATTGATATAATTTTCAATTGTTCTTTCACTTCAATCCAATATATATAAAAACCATTTAAAAGTGCACATTTAATACTTTTTGATCTAATTAAATTTCTTTTCAAACATTCATAATAAACATTTTCAAAAAAAATTCAATTGCTCATCAAAAACTTCAATCCAATATATATATAAAAACCATTTAAAAGTGCACATTCAATACTTTTTGATCTAATTAAATTTCTTTTCAAACATTCATAATAAACATTTTCAAAAAAAAATTCAATTGCTCATCAAAAACTTCCAAATTGAAAACAATTTAATTAATTTTTTTTTACTAAAATCCTCAATATTGCCCTAATTGTTTGATTAAATTTCCAAATTTTACCGAATTAGATTTTACACTTTTCTGACTTTTTGTCAGGGAACGAAGCGACCCAAAAAATATCGGAAAAGTGTAATTCTCAGTAATATGATTAATTTTTCCATTTAACACCGAACAGCATTTGAATCAAAAATAATCGCATGGCTGAGAATTTAATTTTTGGAATTCAATATTAAAATTATTCTTCTCTTCGATCAATGATAAATCTAGAAAATCATTTTCAGAAAACTTTCTGAATTCTTCTCCGTTGAAAAGTTTCACGTTATATTATGTATTTCATATTTTCCTAACTATCATATATTTATTTTCAAACAAGAATTAATAATATATTGCAACTCAAAATTAAATTTTTTCTAAAGATTTTTGACGTTATGTATTTTAAAGAATTCTCAGCAAACATTTATATAAATGATTTTATTTTTGAAGTTTTTGAAGTAAATTACTCGAATGATTCAAATTGGGTATGAAGAATCAGTATTTAGGTTAAGGATCTCGTATGGAGAAAAATCTTCTCCAACTCTAAACTTCAGTTTGGAGACACTTTACAAATTGTAAACTTCAAATTGGCAAAATATATATATAAATATCAGTCATGTTCCTAAATTTAACAAGCTTGTGCTCAAACTTGATATGTAGGAAGTACTTAACATTTAATTAAGAATTGGCAAATTATATCAAGGAATATTTTTGTAATTTCATGAATAATATAAATGAAAGTAATCAACATAGAAATGCGAAAGCAAACTCCCTTAGGCTAAACTGATTTTATTGGGAATCAATGAAAAATATTTTAGATTTAATTTTATCGATGATCTAAGAGAGATTATTAATAGATTAGATGAAAACTATAGTAGTTTTATTTGTATTATCAAATAAAGATTATTTTAAATTGAATATGCATAAAAAATCTGTGATATGATATTTTGTGGTAGTGACTAATATCTATAGTTGAAATATAATATAAACTCGCCATAAATGCTGATTAGCATTCAAGAAATAAAAATTCAAATAATATATCTAAATAAATATTGGAACTATTTCTTGGGATCAGTAGATCATTGAAATCCCAAAAATATTGCCCATGAAATCAAACATTGGAAGCTCATCTTGATAGAGAACATATACAAAAAAATATTAGAGAGTTTTAAAAATTATTTAAGGGTGCACCCGTATGTACGTTTATTTGAGAGGAGGATTACCCTCTCAATTTTGAGGGATTCGTTAGTTTATTTTCTCGATGAATATGCAATAAAATTTGATTTTTACCTTATCAATATACTTCATATAATATACACATGTTCATGTAAAAACTTTTTTCCAAAATCCTCAGGAATTAAGGGATTTTTGAATTTTAAGAATTTTTATCGAATTTTTTCGAAAAAAAAATATTTTCAGAACAGCCTTAACGGCTAAGATTTAGGAACAATGTTAAGTATCAAAAAGAAAGGAGGTCTGATATAGACAACATATATCGTTGAAGGTTTGAAAAAATCTCTAATATTTGAGCCCAAAATTTCAAAATTTAATTTTTTGAAAAAAGAGCCACCCGTATGTACGTTTAGTTGAGAGGAGGAGGATTATATTTTGAAAGGGTGAAACATTATGAATATGTTAATTATATAATAATATGTATTATTATAAAAAAGAAAAAATAAAGCACGTTAAAATTTTTTTTCTTGATTTTTTACAAAATCTACTTAGAATTATGCAAAATATGACTAAATAATTATAAATTTCAAGTTAAATTTTAATTTTGATAAATAATTTAAATTTCAAAATATCAAGTTCAGTTCGACTATGTATGTAGTAATTCCTCAATAAAGTGCCAAAACCCTATTAAAATATATGAACATTTTCAACATTTTAATGTTTTTATTTAAAAATTTGATGGAATATGAGCTTCAAACAATTATTATGTAAATAAAAATAATTAAATATATGTATTTATTCGTATTACAACCGTAGTAAGTCGATTCTTCCTTTCTTCTACTGAGTTTTGAATTTGATTTCGAATTGTAAAGAGATTCAAAGGGAAAATACTAGCGGATAAAAACTACCTCCATGAAAGGGTCATAATGGAGTCAAGTTGTATTTTTTGATATTTTTTGCTTTTCGAGCCTAAATAGGTAGCCAAGATAATGCCTAAAAATAAGGTTCTGAATTCTGAAGTTTACATGATCCTCTCGTGTGCACCCTTAAACTGCGAGACAAAAGGCGTAAGTATTCAATTTTGAATAGTTTACATCATATTAGAAATATATTTGAAAACTCTAATTATTTCTTTCCGAATTTCAGCTTATATGGTGACTTATATCCATCAGTATGCTGAATTTGTTGTGTTTCACCAGATATGTCTGGTGTTTCCATGAATTCGAGGCCACTTTCAAGGTGTTCTTCAATATCTACGTCTGAAGGCTGAATACTATCATGAGCTCTTGGTCTTTGTGGTTGAGGTTTCGGTTGTGGCTCTGGAGGAGGAACGAAATTGTTTGAATTTTGAATATTTTGTTGTTGGCTTTCAAGTTCTTTTTGTTGTTGTTTATTGGACTCAATAAGAATTATTTTTGACTTGTAGACCTCTGAATCCATTAATATAACTTCTAAAGTTTTATTTTTTAGATTTAATTTTTCTTCTAATTCCAGCGTAGTTTGAATAACATCTTCTTCTGTTGGACTGCATTTTTTAAATGTAATCAATGATGAATGATCTGCGACTGGTTGAATGTCAGGAATCTTTTTAAGAATAGGTTTGAAATTATTGAGATAAAACTTAGTATCATCAAGCATTGTCATAGCGCGAAGATAGCTTAATGAGGCAATTAACTCATCTGACTTAGTTTTGGAATCAATGGAAGATATATCGTTTTTAACAACTTCAAGTTCGTTTTGAATCCTAGTATGTGTTTTAAGTTTCATTGTGTGCACCGTATAATTCTCTAAATCGCTAACTCGGCATGCTGGTTTTGATTTTGATAAATTATTTTTGATATTTGTTTCGATTTGATCGATCAAGCCCACATCAGAATCAAGACTTTTCTTGTTACCCGCTTCCCATGCTCTTATGATGTTCAAATATTCACTCATTATGGGAGACTCTAATGAATTATGAAGCATTTCAAAAAAATAATTTTATCAAAATAAAAGTATTAATAATATCGATTTAATTTAATATTTTACAATTCATAAAAGCATAAAAGATCGTAAAAAGTGACATATTCACCGGAAATTTTAAAAATTAGTAGCATGAATTATATTTCATTGAATGTGATATAGTGGCAGCTGCAATAAGTAAAAATCTGGGCCAAGAGTTCGTAAATGTTTCCAAAAAGTTTCCTTGATCAACCCAAAAGATCATAATAATAACACTTTGTATCATGTGCATTGATCTAATTGTTCGTTTTGTTACAACTTCCTTTATTATTTTATTGTTCCAACTCTAAAGGCATATGAAATATTAAATATAATTATATAAATTTTAATTTTTTGTCAAATTTATGCGCATATTTGTGAACTATGATAATAACCATATACAATTACCGATATTAAAATGCTAATTCTTATGTTTTTAAACCTAAAAATTTATATGATCAAATAAATTCAACAAAAAATCCGTAACAGTTAACATGTTTTTTCAATTTCTCGATTATTTTTGGATATTTCGAGATATAGAATACACTAGTATTCAAGAAAATATGATTTTCTATCTATTAAATTCTTAGAATAATATAAATCGAAGAAATAATTTTTTTATCTATTAATAATAGATATGATTTTCCATTAATATATAACTCATTATATCTATTAATAAACAATGAAACTTAATAAATGTCATATATCTAGTACAATAACACACATTTATGCAATTAATGATATTCTACCCTTTACAAAAGTCAGCACATGTACAAAAACGACATACTAAATACATCATCAATGATTACAGAAGAATCCATCTGAATTACCAATTTCAGTAATAAAATTTAGTTCGAGAATTTGATTACAATCATATTTGCACAGAAAGTTGTGATGTTACGTAATTTTGTATTTATTTCCATGATAATCAAATACAAAGATAAATATGAAATGAAATGACGATAGAAATTTCGTAACAAAAAATGCTTTCGATATTTCTAACATTATCTTTGTCAGAGTTTGTAGAAGTGCCTCTTGCTGGCTTAGCTACCACATTTGAACATCCACAAGCAGTTGTATTGTTTTATGGCGAAGATAAAATTGATAGCATTTTATCAACACTAAACTCAGCGTCACAGCCATACAAATATTTCTCATTTGTAAAGGTTAACTTATCAGGAGTTAAAGAAACACAACCATTTCCAATCAAAACTCTTCCATCTGTAGTTTTCGTATACAAAGGAAAATATGTCGGCACCCTTAATGATAAAATCGAAACAGAAACTGTTCGTTCATGCTTATCTCGTCTTGAAACATCCATTCTTTCACGTCCATACCAGCTTACTAACCCTCTTGAAGCGATTCAAGCTACAAAGAACTCAACATCATCCATAATCATCTTCTCCAAGGAAGATTCCTTCATCCGACGTTTCAGAATGATTCCTGAATACGATGTTACCATTCCTATCTATGTTGTTTCTAATGCAGAAACAGCTGCATCAGTAGGACTCGAAAAACTGAACAGTATCCTCATTACAAGAGCTATTGATGGAAAGTCTAAAATTTTCTCACAGAAAGAGCTCTACGATGAAAGCTCAAACACAATCGTTCAAAATTTCGTTAGACCATTTATCACTGTATGCCATTACGACGAACAAATTGGCAATGGACTTGATGGTTTCACCATTGCGGCCCTAGTTGAAGAAGGAAATCCACTCCAAAGGAACGAAGTTTCGGATAATTTCAAACAACTCTACGGAACGTTCAAAAGAACCATTAACTACCATATCGGCTACTACGGTGATTTAGATGCTCCAATCAAGCAATATAACATCGATAACTACTCAATTCCTACTTATATTCTTTATTATAAATATAAAGGAGAGAAAACACCAATTCTTTACTCCTGCTACGAAAGAAGCCCAGGAATGATCAGAAAATGGGTGAAATATACAATGAGCAGGCTTCCAGAAGATATTGAAAAATATAAATACAGAAATCAAATAGATTGGATCGGAGGAGCCGGTTACGCAGACCTTATTATAGGTAAGGCTGCTGATAACTTCATTCTTTTGTCCGATTGGTCGTTTGATAATTACGAAAATGTATTTGACATATATATGAAGCTTCTCGAGATCTTTATTGAACATAAAGATCTTAAGTTCCACTTCTACGATCCATTGGTCCGTCCAAGAGCTCATATGCCGGCAATCGAACCCGAAATCTCTACTTCTACGCTCAGATTCTATAAATCAGGTAGAGAATCTAAACATGTAGACATTAAACTCAATAAGGACTTCGAAACAATCCTCAGACAAGTGCTAAGACTCTTAGATAAGTCTATTAGCAGTAAGGAGGTACGTAAGAATATCGAGAAGTACATCGATCCAATGAAGAACCGCGCGATGTAAGAAACAAACATACAAATATTATATATTTCTTTTAAAAGATAAAATTTTTATGATCAATTTTTTTTTTTTTGAAAATGATAATCTCACTCATATAAATTTAATAATATTACTTTCTAATTAATACATTTTAATCGTAAAGAAGTAGATGAACCTCTTAAAAAAAATCTGGTCACATCAAAGATTCGTTGTTTTCCCCAATAGAAACTGCTGCCTATGAAAGACTAAAGAAAGCTGCTATTTCTCCTGAAGAAATGACGGCTTTTAAGAGTGAACACTTTAGTCACATTCTTATATGTCTCAAAAGAATATGAACTAATTATATATATATATCACATTAGAAATAAAAAAATTGAGAGATGGTATGTAAAATGTTTATTATTTATTTCTAATGAAATCCATATTCGAAAATATCAGAAAAAGATGCATATTATGTATGAACACTATTTGTTGCACCATGTGAAATAAGAAGTTCGGCTACTTCTGTATAATTATGGTCTACTGCAAGATGAAGAGGGGTTTTCCCATCATTATCTTTTTCATTGATATTTGCACCATGTGAAATAAGAAGTTCGACAATATCTTTATTATTTTGAATTGCTGAATAATGAAGAGCTGTTCTTCCAAAATAATCTATTTCATTGATATTTGCACCATGCGAAATAAGAAGCTTGGCTATTTCTTTACTATCATGAAATGCGGTATTAATAAGATCGGTTATTCCATCTTCACATCTTTCATTGGTATTCATACTTTTTTAAAAAAGAAGTTCAGATGTCTTTTGACTAATTCCTGTTGCAATATGAAGAGCGGTTTGTCCATGAATATTTATTTCATTAAGATTTGCACCGTGCGAAATAAGAAGTTCGGCTGTTTCTTTACTATTATTTTCTGCTGCCAGATGAAGAGCTGTCCTCATGTTATTATCTTTTTCATTGATATTTGCTCCATGTGAAATAAGAAGTTCTGTTATTTCTTTACTGTTATTCCATGCTGCATTATGAAGAGCGGTGTTGTCATAATCATCTTTTTCATTGACATTTGCACCATGTAAAATAAGAAGTTCTGCTATTTCTTTACTATTATATTCTGCTGCATCATGAAGTGGGGTTTGCCCATTAAATTTGTTCTTATTGATATTTGCACCATGTGTAATAAGAAGTTCGACTATTTCTTTACTATAATTCCACACTGCAACATAAAGAACTGTGTTTCCGAGACCATCTACCTTATTGATATTTGCGCCATGTAAAATAAGATTTTTGGCTGTTTCCACATTATTATAAGATGCTGCCTTATTAATAGCTTCAATTGTATCATTTTCATTGATATTTGCAAAATGTGAAAGGAGGTATTCACAAAATGATGGGATATCAAGCATCGCTGAATATTTAAAGACTTCCCTAATCCGAATATTTTGATCAACATAAATTAAAATTGATTCAAGATTATTATATTTTCCACAATATTCTAAATCAATCTCCAAATTGTATTCATTCATCAAGAATGTAACAAAATCAATGTTGTGTGAAATAATTGCATATCTCATGCACCATAGATTTTTTTTTGATATTTCAAACATTCACTCATGATCTCTTTGCTTCTTCCTAAAAATGACAATTCAAGACATCCTTCAGTAATTTCTGAGTTAAATTTCGTTCTTAAGAACTTGAAACAATCAACAGATCCGTAGTAGCAACATAATTCAAGTAATGAACATCCAGATAAAGCTGGATATAATCTGCTGCAAAGTTCTTGATCTTTATCAAATCCTTCTCTTTCTGTGAACGAAATGAATTTTTCTAAGTCATTATTCTTAATTGCTCTGTAAATTGTATCTTCTGTCAGAAAATCGAGTTTTTCTGTGATGATTTTTTCAAATCTAATATACTTGTTAAATCTTATGCCATATTCTTTATAAAACAGGTAATCTGAAACATCTTCAACATTGTTGGTCTCTTTTACATGATAATCATCAGATATCTGTTTGGCAAGAGATAAATATGCCTTTGCATAGCGATTATTAAGTGGAATAATATTTAAAATGTCTCTTACGATATTTGAAGGCAGATATTTCTTTGAATCAAGCAATTCTGTTTTGATCATGTTGTAAATCTTGTTTAAGTCTTCGTCATTTTCTGCTTTTAGATGATACAATGCATTAAATGAATCTATGTAGTATTTATACTTACTTCGTAATTCACTATATTTATCAGGACGAATGTCTTGATCAGACATGAAAAAAATTTACAAGTCCGAAATCGGTATTTTACCTTATCAAACATCTTTTTAATCAACTATGAGAAATAGTTGCATGTTAAACATGTTGAAAACAATGTCCATACACATTTTGGAAATAACATTCTTAAAAGAAATGTCGAAAAACAATCCAAATTTATATATATTTTATATAAAAGATATCTTATAAATAATATCTGTTTTTGCTCAAAATTTTTTGAAAATTGAAGATTTTTTAGATGTTTTCGAGTAAACGAATATGAATTTTGATGTGACATATAATATAAATGAATTTGATACAGAAGAAACATGATTTGGTTTTCCGCAATATAAAACTTTGTCACGTTTATTCAAAATTATAAGATCTAAATTACGCTCACAGAAGCTCACATTTCGTCCTAACTCACGTGAAGTATCGTTTACACCGCCAACAGTTTCAGATGTACGCTATGCATTAAAAATTGAACCAAACCAGAGAAATAACGAACAAAATCAAACAATTTTTCGATCTCTATTACTTAATCCAAAAATGGCATTCCTTATAGAATCAACAAAGGATCTTGAAAACCTAGCTAAACAAGCAACATATAAATTAATGAAAAGAGGAGACGTTTTATTTTATGAAGGAGACGATCCAGATGGATGGTTTTTAGGATTATCAGGTACAACAGATGTAATTATACGTTTATTTTTAGTAGCTGAAGATTGTTTATTTGATACTGATTCTACAGACTCAACGGAGTTTGCTCCATTAATGTCAAAGATGGATTTGGATATTCAGCATGATAAACTACAAAGAGTTAGAATTAATAACCCTGGTGAAGTTTTTGGATATCATTCCTTTATACCAGAAATTAGTGCAAAAAGATCTTCAACAATAGTTTGTTCATCAGAGTTTTCTGAATTAATCTGTTTCCCTACAAATCTTTTCGGTGAATATGCTTTAATTAAACAAAGAGATCTCTATCACAATCACTGTGATCTATTACATAGAGTTTTTCCACGATTAAAAGATGATCAAGTTGACCATTTAGCCCTTTTAGCTGAAATAATGAAAATCCCATCAAAGACAACGATTACTGCAGAAAAGTGCTATGGAAGATATATTTACATCATTAAGTCAAGATCTATTGCTAGATATAGAGTTGTTGATTTTTCAGACTTAAGTTTTAGAACAATTGATGCCCCATTTGAAAGTTTACAGTTACATTTTCCGGATGGATTACATCCTGTTCATACAGACAATTTAGTTGAAGGAAGTGTCTTTGTAGATCCTTCAGTTCACACTTTATATGATAATGAATTTAATATAAAAACAACATCTGATGTTGAATTGGTTGCCTTAGATATAGATTACTTCAAAATTATTGTTGGAGCATTTGAATTAGAACGTGTTCGCCAAGAAATTAAAAGTACATTAACTGATGAACAAGTTAAGAAGATTTGGTATGAATCAGAAAAGAAGAGACTATGGGATAAATTCAAGTCCAGAACAGCTAACGAAGCCAAAAGGGAACTTCAAGGAGATTTAGATTTTAAATCAGGTGCAACAATAGCGAGGAAGGCAAATGTACCGAACTCTATTCCTGCATTTCGTCCACGAGTTGTTAAATCATATGCTCCAACGCATTTAGCAAAAACAAAAGACTTCTCAGAACCAATGTGCTATTAAGCACATCAATAAATGAGAATGTAGAATTAATGTTCTGCTTTTATGAATCATATGAAGGAATTTGATAACAATATATTTATCTACCTTCAATTAATGGTATGTAGAATTTGATCTCTTCAATTAATAATATTCTTCACTTATATGTTTATTTTTGTTATAAATGATAATTAAGAAAATTAATTTTGAATTCTAATATCAGAAAAAGTAAGAGAAGCATCTTAAGTTGGAACATATTATTCTACCCAATGGGAAACAAGAAGTTCATGTGTTTCTGTATCATAATATCATGAACTTCTTGTAATCTGTTTAGTTGACTTTTGCACCATGTGAAATAAGCGGTTCGGCTGTTTCAATTTTTATTATGAGGTGCTGCAAAACGAAGAGTGGTTATTCTATTTTTAGTTTTTAAACAAAGAGGTTGTACAATTAAAAAAGAATCAGCTTTATAAAAAAAAGTAAAAAAAAGATGGCTATAAAAATTACCAATCGAAACCCTGTTGTTTTGTCTGAAGTTTTGCCTCGAGTTTTGACTCCTTGTTGAAGTTCTTAACTTCATTGAGGTTAACCTTTTCGACACGGCGTCTCTGTGGTCCCTTAGACTTCTGTGGCTTTGTTGCCTGCTTGACTTCTCTCTTTGCGCCCTTGTTAGCAGCAGCTGCAGCCATGAGGAAAGCCATTTCTTCATCCTCGTCCATCTCAGCCTTCTTCTTCTTCTCCTCAGCCTTAGCAGCTGGTGGTGGTGGCTGGTTGATGACTGGTGCTGGTGGTGCCTCGACTGGAGCGTCTTCCTCATCAGAGCTGTCCATGAGGTTAGCGAATGCAGACTTTGGAGCGACGATTGTTGCAACCTGTGGCTTGACTTCCTCGAAAGCAGCAGATCCGAGAGAACGTGGAACATGGCTGAATGCCTCGAACAATCCATCTGGGAATGGGTACAAGACTGTCTGGATGAACTCATGTAATCTTGTCTCTTCGAGTTCTCTGATCTTGGCTGGTTCCTGGTAGAATGGAGCGAACTTGTCACTGCCGATCATGCCTTCTGCGTCGTAGGCAGCAGCAAAGATCTGTCCATCAAAGAAACGATGTGGCTTGGCCTTGTCGTTCTTCTGTCCGAAGACCTGCTGGAGCCAGAGCATGTGCTGAAGGACAACTTCGTAGAGAGCGGCAACATGCAATCTTCTGAGCTTTGGCTTGAACTCTGGTGCCTTCTGTTCTCCGTTGTTCCACTGGCTGTATGGGAGCTGGATGAGGCAGAGTGCCTGGGCAGCGAGTGCGCGGAGTTCGAAGAGATCGATCGGAGGAGCACCGATAACGCCGGCATCCTTGAGCTTCTTGTTGTCCTCTGGTGTGCGTGTGTAGTTGGCCTGGTTCTCAGTGAAGCACTGTGCGATGAGGTATCTGAGGGAGAGAGCGAGGATCTTGAATGGCTCTGGGAGAGCGGAGACTGGATCATCCTTTGGATTTGGCTGCTTGGGGAACTTGGAGTGGGCAATCATGTAGAATGTCTTCTCAAGCTGTGGTTTCTTCATCTTGAGGATCTGGGAAAGCTCTGGAAGATCGGCTTCGGCTTGGACTGTTTCTGTGGAAACGGCTTCGTCTGTTGGGATGTGCTCGATAACTTCCTTGCGACCAAGGATGCCGTAGATGATCTGACGAAGTGGTAATGTGACCTTGGATGTCATGACTTCGTGCTTGTAGTCATCGACAACTGGCTCGTACCAGAAATCGTTGTTCTCGGAAATGCCGATTGTCCAGAGTGGAAGCTTGCCTTCGTCAACGAGTTTGCGGACTTCGGAATCTCCTTCTGGAAGAAGATCCTCGAGAGAGAAGTACTTGCGGGATTCGTCGATGACAGCCTTGAATTCGGCATCGTCAGCAATCAATTCCTTGATTGGGGAAGTGTTCTCGAGACCTTCGTATGTTTCAAGATTGAGCCAGTCAACGATGCCTTCGACAAGGGCGGCTGGATTGTTCTGGCGTGGCTTGATGCGGAGAAGTGTGTAGATGTTGTACTTCTGTGTGACGAATTTCTCTGTGAAATCATCACCAAGAAGGATTGCGAGATCGATAAGCTTCTTCTGGTCGTTGAGGCCAAGGATGTCGCAGACAGAAGCTGGTGTCATGTAGTAGCATTGCCAGATCTTGTTCTCATCGTTGAAGAATGAGTCGATTGGAATGTATTTGATGTGCTCGAAGATGACGTAGTCGGAGTTGTTGCCGATAACAGCATCAGCCTTGCCCTCCTTTAAGTAGTTGGCGATGAAGCGATAAACGCTGTTTCTTGTGTAAAGAACTGGGACATTGAGCTTAGCTGCTGTGATGGCGATCTCATCGAGCATGAATGGTGGAAGAACATCGAGAAGACCACGTGAAGAAGCGGCTGTCTTCTCAAGGAGTTGACGGACGCGGGAAACGCGGCGGATCTTGTCCTGAGCCTTGCCGTTCCACTTGGAGAGTGAGTTTTCTGTGACTGGGCCTGTGCCATCTGGAAGTGGAAGAACAATTGTGCATTGTGCTTTGAAATTGGCAAGAAGGTTGAAGAATTCTACGATTTTCTGTGCGTAGTTGTTGTAGTCACCACCATTTGCGAATTCCCATGAATGATCTTTGTCTTTTGGTGTCAAAATATAGTAAGCAAGGGACTGACCATCAATAACGAATGATGGTGTTTCGCCCTTCTTCTCAATATCATCGACCTTTCTTTGTGGTGATTTCTCGCTCTTATTTTGGTAAATACCTACGGTAAGACCACGAACCATTTTTTCAGTGTATCAACCAAAACCGCTTTTTCCATTCAATATTTATTGGCTGGGCAATTTCTTGACTCCTTATAGTGATTGGAACTTCATCTCGACTCACACATGAATAAGAAACACATTACTATCTTAGATATTCGGGCATGATAAGAAAAATATCTATTTTTCAGAATGATTTCAGATATTAATTTGAAATGCACATGATTGTTGTGATGCATTAATAGTTATAACATTAGCTCTCTATGTTGTGCGAATATGAACAGTTGAATGAGTGAAATTTATTAGTTTATTTATAAACTCATTTTCAAATGTAAAACATATGCTATTTATTTGAGACACAGTAAGGATAATTCACAATGATGTTGACACTTGTTTAATAGTCTATCGATCTCATTTATCTAATTATTCTTATGAGATATCATATGCAAATCTACTCAAAAAGTCTTATCTTTGGATATTATGGCAACATCTTAAACATCACAACATGATCTCATCTATTAAATTTGAATTCATAAACTAATGTAGATTTAGCATTGTAATTCGGAGTTTCTTCTGATTTTCTTATAGGAAATATTAGGAACCAGATTTTTTGACATATCAATCATTAAATTTTCATTGACCAATCTTTCTTTATGCTTGTTTCATTTTGAAGTTATATGCTATGATAATACCAATCAAGAAAATTCCAGATGAAACAAAAATAGCTCATTTTCATGGATGAAGAATATAAAGAAGAAACTGAACAAGTCTCTGTTTCTCAAAAATCGGTGAGTGAATACAAAATCGAAACAGATCTCGATAAAGCTAAATTAAATCTATTACATCAAACTATTTTAGCACAAAATTCAGCAATTGCCGAACAAGACACCAAAAAATTTACATTACTTACAGAAGAATTAGTTAATTTTGATTCTAAATATCTTAAATCCATTTCTCAGTTCATTTACGATCAAGATTACTTTAATAATTTAATATCCCTTATTTTAACAATTGAAGACCTTGACATCCTCAATCTCAGCTTAAAGACACTTAGAATCATTATTTTAAACGACCATGACTCTTTAGAACAAATTCCACTAAATGATTTGTTACCAAAGCTATCAGAAATACTCAAACTCGATTACAATGAATGCTCAGAAACTTGCTTATCTTTCATCAACACTCTCGCAGAAATTAATGAAGAATTGATTGAATTAACTTCAGATTTTGTTTCTCCTGAAATGCTTAATAATTTCATGCATTTATTTACAGGGGGAAGCCGTAAAGACTATTTCAAACGTCCACATGCTCTTTCGCGTCAAATTACGATTTTTCTAAATAATATCACGAAACTTGAACTTTCTGTTGAACAAGCTGACTTTATGATTGACATATGCAAAATAATAATTGAAAACGAATCGGGAGGAACGGATTTGGCTATAAATATTTTAATTAAATTATTTGGAAAGAATTTATTAACATTACCTGAATTCTTTGGGAAAGAATTTCATAAATCAATAGGAGATCTGATAGGTAATGCAGAACATGGCGAAATACTATCAATTTGCAATCTTTTTGAATGTTTAATTGAAAATGAATGGAATTGTGAGGATTTTCCATTAGAATTAACATTAGATGCTTTTGATAAGAATGAAAGTACTATTGCAAGGTGTACAATACTTGATTTATATGAAAAAGTCTTAAATGTTTGTGTATCATCAGTAATTGAAGACTTTATCAATACAAATGCAATTCTAACAGTTGCAAAACAGATAAAGGAGAATACAAACACAAATATTACTGGAAGACAGCCCTATTACGTTAAAAAAGAATTTAATATTTTGCAAAAAGCTGCTGATGTATTATTTATACTTTACGATAAGATGACATATGCTGATATAGTTAGAGAAACTAATGACGACGTTGTTCTTGCTTTAACAACACTTCTTGAGTATGATGATGAAAAATACACGTATGGGATACTTGTAACAACACTAAAAATACTCAAAGCATTCCAAAGCTGTGGACAACTTGATGATTTCCTTGTTAATATGTATTATAAATATGATGCAAGCGAATTATTTATTCATCTTGGCCAGGATTTGGAAGATGAAGATCTAATTGACTTATTTAACCAGGTAATGGATATGATACCTGAGTAATTTTATATTTTATTTGTTTTATTAAATAATATTTTGTTAAATTTAAATGATTTATAAACAATGATCAGCTCGTTTATGCTTTAATGATATCATTAATGTTAATTTCTATCATTTCAATAGAAACTCTCAAATTTTTGTTAAATTTTTTTTCAATGTTGAACAACATTTGAATGTAAAATAATCGTTAATTAGAGATTTTGGATTTTTAATATTTTTGGCACTTAGTGTTCAATAATCAAAATAATGCTTTCTATCATATTTTTTCAACTTATGAAACTGAGCCAAGCAACTGAACACTATAAAACACTTAAGAATAAGTATAAGGGATACATTGATACATGGGATTCAATATATAAATTGGATACAGATGAAATAGATTCAACAACAGGATTGTACCAAGAAATCAAGAACAACTTGATTGATACTGGATATTTTACACCAAAAGAGATGATTCGTCTGATTGGAGATATTTGCAAACAGAGTTTGCATTATCGTCATGGGTACATAGAGTTAATGAAGAGAATATCCGAAGGATATCAATGCAGTGACATTTATAATATCTCATTTCTTTCACAATATGATGATATTAAAATAAATACACCTGAATATGCAATAATGAATGATAACGAAGATGAATTATTGTATCACTTGAAAAGTAAGAGATTGAATCTCACTGAAATTCTAGAAAAATGTTGTTTAAGAGGAGCAGTTAATTGTTTCAAGTTATTACAAAAAGAATTTGACGTAGAAATCACAAAAGCATGTCTTGATGCTTCATTTATAGGGAACAATCGATACATCATTAATGAATGTTTGAAAGAAAATGTGCCTGATATGAAAACAACGAGAGCTGCAATTGCATCTCATAACTTCGGTAATTTATATATGTTGTTGAACGAATACAATGCAGCTATCAAATTGAAGGATTGTTACAAATACAAAAATCTTCATGCATTTATTTATCTTTTAGATAAATATGAAGTTTTCAACACTATGTTTCTATTATCTCCAAGTTTTCATATACCATCTCTTTATGAATATATGATTCAGAATGGTGCTGATATTAATTATGTGGATGAATACGGTGTAACGTGTCTTTTTTTGCAGTGGTTGAAAATCAAACAGATATTGCATTAAATTTGATTTTAAACGGATTGAATATAGGGTGTCCAAAGGTGTGTTTAGCACAAACCTGAATACTGCGAATAGAAATAAACAAGTTACATATATATAAAGTTTATTTAAATATAATCACCATTGGATTCAATCACGCGTTCGCAGCGATCGATCCAGGCTTGAAAGACACGCTTTAAATCATCATGAGAAAATTGCTCAAATTGCTCTCTTACAAAATTTTCAAGATCATCTGGACTCGCGAATTCGCGTCCTTCAGCTCTCTTTTTTAGCGTGCCGAATAAATAAAAGTCAGAGGGTGCAATATCAGGCGAATAAATTGGGTTTGGAACAACTTTGACATTGTTTTCCACCAAGTAATTCATTACCTTATGACTTTTGTGAACTCTTGAATTATCAAAATGAATTGCAAACTTTTGTTTTTGTTGTTTGGATTTCTCAAACTCATCAGAATTGATAATTTGAGTAAGAACATTGTCAATTAGATACTGAGCATTCATCGTATTAGGTTTTTGAAGAATATCAATTGCGATGATGCCATTCACGCCCCAAAAAACCGACAACATCATCATTGGTGTGTCAATTTTTTTCTTCGGGAATGTTTGCGGATTTTCATCCTTCGGGATCCACATGATTTTGGCTTCTGTTGCATATTGAAACCAAGACTCGTCCCCTGTTACTAAAAAGCGAAACTTCTTGGATTGATACGCACCCAATATAGAGAGGAGCTCTTTCGAAGATTGGACTCTAGATTTTTTTTGAACTGAATTAAGGTTGTGCGGAACCCAACGTGTATACGCTAGTTTGTAGTTCAAATAATTGTGCAGATAATAACTGACTGTTGTACGTGGTATCTTTGTCATCTCCTCTATCCTTCTGAGTGATGCTCTTGGGTCTTCATCTAGCGCTTGAAGAATTGCTTTGATTTTTCTTTGATCCGGCGATTTTTTGTCAATTTTTATGATGGGCGCCTTTTTGTTCATGAAGTGATACATCCTAACATGATACGTTACAGTGGAATAGCTAGGAGCATCCATACCGAAGCATTTTACCAATGTCTCGTAGATTTTTTTACAGTCTTTGCATTTTTTTGCAAGAGCGAGGATGTTTTCTTTATGATTCATTAAAAAATGAAAAAAATCCCGCCAAAATTTCCCGCGAAACCGCCTCTTGTCTCAAAATTCATTTTATATCCCGGCATGGCGCCAAAATACAACATACTCATCATATACATATATTCATATTTTTTATTATATATTTATAATCAGCATATATCTCCTTTAATAGTCTCATATAGAGCGCTGTGCTAAACGCACCTTTGGACACCCTATATTAATGCACTACATTTTAATGCATATGATATTATAATCAGGAAAAACAATATTTTTATGTTAGAGTTTCTTCTTTCACATGGTGCTAATGCCAACACCAGAGATAGAGAAGATGGCATCACATTACTTCATATCGCAAGCGAGTGTAATAATGTTGAAGCCGCTAATATTCTAATTTCACATGGTGCAAATATAAATGATAATAAAAACGATAGGAAATACACTCCTCTTATGGTTGCATGTATATTTGATTCTAAAGAAATTGCTAAACTTCTGATTTCAAATGGTGCAAACGTCAATATGCAAGATTATATAAGACGTTCTCCACTTCATGCTGCAGTATTATGTAATGATACAAAAGCAGAAGATGCAGAAGAAAAAAATTCGAAATTTAATCGAGACAACAAAGATTTGATTGAACTTCTACTTTCAAATGGTGCAGATGTCAATGCAAAGACTGTCGAAGGATATCCACCTCTTCATATGGCATCATATGCATCTAAACTTGAAATTGTTGAAATGTTAGTTTCTCATGGTGCCGAAATCAATACTTTAATAGGCAGAATTTCAGCCCTTGACATCGCTATTGGTCGCGAAAAGTCGGATTATGAGAAATTTCTCAAACGACGCAAAGCAGGAATGAAATGCCAAGTTTATCTTGATTCTTCACAAGAAGCAAAGAAAATACAGGCTTTTTTAATATTGCATGGAGGAAAAACTAATATTGGACATAAGAACTAAAAACTATATTTTGAAGCTTTTCCAAATAATAAGCTTGAAATCATATTCTTCGCATGTAAACCTTTAAGGGAATTGAAAGGTACAAATTCCAATTTATAATTTTAAAAGTGAAGATTATTTTTGCCTAAAAATACAAAATACGGAAATATAGGGTGTCCAAAGGTGTGTTTAGCACAAACCTGAATACTGCGAATAGAAATAAACAAGTTACATATATATAAAGTTTATTTAAATATAATCACCATTGGATTCAATCACGCGTTCGCAGCGATCGATCCAGGCTTGAAAGACACGCTTTAAATCATCATGAGAAAATTGCTCAAATTGCTCTCTTACAAAATTTTCAAGATCATCTGGACTCGCGAATTCGCGTCCTTCAACTCTCTTTTTTAGCGTGCCGAATAAATAAAAGTCAGAGGGTGCAATATCAGGTGAATAAATTGGGTTTGGAACAACTTTGACATTGTTTTCCACCAAGTAATTCATTACCTTATGACTTTTGTGAACTCTTGAATTATCAAAATGAATTGCAAACTTTTGTTTTTGTTGTTTGGATTTCTCAAACTCATCAGAATTGATAATTTGAGTAAGAACATTGTCAATTAGATACTGAGCATTCATCGTATTAGGTTTTTGAAGAATATCAATTGCGATGATGCCATTCACGCCCCAAAAAACCGACAACATCATCATTGGTGTGTCAATTTTTTTCTTCGGGAATGTTTGCGGATTTTCATCCTTCGGGATCCACATGATTTTGGCTTCTGTTGCATATTGAAACCAAGACTCGTCCCCTGTTACTAAAAAGCGAAACTTCTTGGATTGATACGCACCCAATATAGAGAGGAGCTCTTTCGAAGATTGGACTCTAGATTTTTTTTGAACTGAATTAAGGTTGTGCGGAACCCAACGTGTATACGCTAGTTTGTAGTTCAAATAATTGTGCAGATAATAACTGACTGTTGTACGTGGTATCTTTGTCATCTCCTCTATCCTTCTGAGTGATGCTCTTGGGTCTTCATCTAGCGCTTGAAGAATTGCTTTGATTTTTCTTTGATCCGGCGATTTTTTGTCAATTTTTATGATGGGCGCCTTTTTGTTCATGAAGTGATACATCCTAACATGATACGTTACAGTGGAATAGCTAGGAGCATCCATACCGAAGCATTTTACCAATGTCTCGTAGATTTTTTTACAGTCTTTGCATTTTTTTGCAAGAGCGAGGATGTTTTCTTTATGATTCATTAAAAAATGAAAAAAATCCCGCCAAAATTTCCCGCGAAACCGCCTCTTGTCTCAAAATTCATTTTATATCCCGGCATGGCGCCAAAATACAACATACTCATCATATACATATATTCATATTTTTTATTATATATTTATAATCAGCATATATCTCCTTTAATAGTCTCATATAGAGCGCTGTGCTAAACGCACCTTTGGACACCCTATAGTAAATAATGATATAATAATAAAATAAAAATATTCTTATTCGAAATCTTTGACCATGGATATTCAGTATGTGGAAGTTGTATAGATATCATTTAGCTCATTGAATTTGTTTGACTTTTATCCACTTTTGGGACATCAATTAGCATCCAAGTAAATTTATGATTAAAAAAATTATTTTTTCTAAAACTTCCAAATTTGAACGGTATATGATGTCATATCGTTAAAATGAATTGTGGCAATATATTTGCTATTAAATGAGTGCATGTGGTAGATTGATCCTTACTTTGCATGAGTATGCGAAATAGTTTTAAATTATCATAATACTGATCAATAACATTTATCATAAAATGATAAAGTTAAATTCAATGCTTTACATTTAAAAATTTAAAGTTGATAAATATTTGAATCGAAGTCATCTTTTGCATTCAAAATATTTTGAATTAAATATTTGACTGCCAGCAGAATACTAATGAAATATCCATTTATTACTGATTGTTTTATACCTTGATTTATTTTATTCCATTTTTAAATTTTTTTAGTTCATTTCATTTGTGATGATACACCTATTCATATTCTCAGCTATTCATCATTGCAATTACGATGAGAGACTAAGAAACATGAATTATACAATTCCAAAAGGAAATAGAATGAGCCTCGGAACTTTTAGTTCAGATAAATGGAGACCAATAAGAATTACAACAAATTATGATTATTTTGAAGGCATTGCTGCAGATACCGAAAGGTGCACTAAAATAGGACAAATTGTTCATGACTCCGCAAATAATGGTGCTGCTTTAACATGTACAGAAGCAGATTTATTAACACCAGAAAGGATCAAAGTTGTCAAAATAACTACTCAGAATGTAATTAATTTCTTGAGTAATCTCCTTAAAGTTCGAACTTATTTACGCAATATCCAAATTGATGATCTGGAAGGCTTGGTTAATAAAAATAATGAAAATACTGATCTGTTAATGGTATTTCATTCCAGACTTTCAAATACCTTCATAGCCTCAGCATATGGAGATAGATATGAATTAGAATATTATCGTCCAATAAGAGGCGTAGTTAATATTAATCCAAAATACATTCCAAAAGCAGCCCAAAATTATAATGATACCGATAATAACTACTTCAATGTAATCCTTCATGAAATTACACATGCATTAGGATTTAACTCATATGTATTTAGGCAATTCCATTCATATGATGATTCAACATTTTACAAGGATCCTATTTGCAATATCACCAAATTTGGAAGAGGTTTTAGCTTCCTTGTTACTCCATATGCACATATCTTTGCAAAGAAAAGATTTGGTCTTGATAAATTTGTCGGAGATGATGGTAAAAGTTGCCCATCTGGAATTGAATTGGAAGATGGCGGAGGTGTAGGAACAGCAGGATCTCATCTTGAATCAAGAACATATGAATCAGAATATATGGTTGGATCTGATACTGGACAACCTACTCCATATTTAAGACTTACAGATGCTACGCTTGCTGTTTTAATGGATTCTGGTAATTACAAAGTTAATTGGGCAAAAGCAGTTCCTTTAGTCTTTGGACATCCAGAATCAATTAATGGAAAACCAATTGAAAACTTTGCGCTTAACCCACCAGAAATTGTATTACCATCAAATTATATTGCAAATGATGATGCTGATTTTGAATTTATGGATTTGACTGGATTTGATTATAAACACTTGGGAATTGGAGGATGGTTTAATGACAGTTCAGTAAATTGCTCTGAGTCATATTTTGGACAATATTGCAAACTCAAAGATACATATTATAACCCGAAACATAAGAAAACAATTGGAACTCAGTTAGCTGATTTTCAAGCTTATCCTTCTCCTGTTAAAGTTTGTCCAAAAGGACAAGCAATTTTGCCAGGTATTATAACTAAGAATCCATGCGGTGAATACAAATGCAATGGCTACGAAAGCTTCGAAATAAAAGTCAATGATGAAATTGATGGAATCAAAACAATTGTTTGCACAAAAGAAAATGTTGGAAAATATTTCAATTTTTCAGCTTTATTTGATGGTCAAATTAGAACGAAGAGAGCAAGCTGTCCGGATCCTGAAAGATTTTGCAGAACAATGAAGCTAACTGAAATGAACTTTAACAAAGATCCTCTGGATCCAAAAACTCTTGTTCTTGAAGGTGAACCTCAAGCACCGCCAGAATGGTCTTTTGACTATTCAGACGTTGATGACGAAATCAAAGAATCGAAGAGAACTTTAATAATTATTATTTCTGTAGTATGCGTTGTTATTGTCATTATCATTGCAAGTATAATAGCATGCTGCGTGTGCTGCATCAGAAAAAAGAAGAAATCTGAAATTTCAGAAACGCCAATTGAAGAACTTAATGAAAGACTTGCTTGAGTAAAGAATTATTTTTTATTTTTGATAAATGAAGCTAATCATAAAATAATTTGATACTTTTTAAAATGAATTTATGATGATAATATTAAATTGAGTAATAAATATTTTTGTGTTACTATATATTTCATCTGTGAAACCATTTAGTGGCATTTATTGAGCCTCAAGTCAGAGAGTGGGAAGCAGTTCCCACAATACCGACAATGTTGTTTGCACTTTTTGTAAATCACTAGGCTTTTCAAAAAAGATAATGATAATAAATTATTTTATTCTTACACATGCAGTAATTCCTCTATCCAGTATCGCCGATATGATCTGAAAAAATCTCCTAATAAAAATTTAATTTAGCAGATAATATAAATATGTTAAATATCCAAATCCGATTCAATAAAAAATTGAATAAATCTGAATTTTTCTGATATCACAAAATTGTCAAAAAAAATACATGCTAAGTTTTCTTTTCCTCTTTATCAGTTCGAAAAATATCACAATCTCAAAAAGAGGTACTACATCATCTTATACTATCTATTATCCAAAAACTGAACGTGGCGAGCAGCCTTGGTGGCGTTTTGCTGCAAGAGAACTTCAGGCAGGTATCAAAAATATAACAGGGGAGACAATTCCAATAGAAACAGATGATCAAAATATTAAAGATAAAGCAATTTTGATAGGCCCAACTAAGTTCTCTAAGGAGTTAACAACATTAAAGTTCACAGATTTAGGTCTTGATGCATATGAGATACGATTTGTTAAAGGAGATCATCTTATCATTAATGGCGGCTCTCGTGGTACCATTTATGGCGTTTATGAACTCTTAGAAACTTACGCAAAATTCAGATTCTACACTTCATGGATGGAATTCTATCCAGAAGCAGATGAATTCAATGTTGATTCTGATGTTAATATAAATGATGTTGCCGCATTCCAATGGCGTCGTATTTGGGCAACAGATACAATTTTGAATTTCAGACATAACGTTAGAAAACGAGCAAATGCAGGCGATCAAGGTCTAGGATACGAAGCTGGCGGATACAAATGGTCTACATTTGGCGTTCATACGTTTTGGACCCAACTTCCCAAATCCGAATATCCTCCATCGAAATATCCCGAAATGTGGGCACTTTTAGATAACGGACAGCGTTCTAGCAGTGCACCATGCCTTACAAATCAAAAAGCTTTCGATGTTATCCTTTCAAAGATCATTGCCGAAGTCAAAAAAGATGATACTTCAACATACATCGACGTTGGCCACAACGATGATAATGATTATTGTCGTTGCCCTAATTGCAAGGCATTGTTCGAAAAATATGGTCAATGATACTCAGGTGTTATGTTAGATTTTTGTAATCGTTTGTCAGATGCCCTCAAACCGACATATCCAAAGCACATTATTAGAATGTTGGCCTACTACATGACAGAAGCCCCTCCGTTCAACATCAAAGGCAAAGATAACATTGGAATTTATTTGTGTCCACTAGGAAATGACATTGGCCACCCAATAAACGAATCAGCGCATCCGGAAACAGTCTATTTCAAACAGATTGTCGCAAACTGGACTAAAATTGTCAAATACGTCCATCTTTACGAATATCACACGAATTTTTGGGTTCCGTTGCATTTGACACCGAATTATTGGATGGTTGGTAGAAACATTCAATACTACGCTTCTTTAGGAGTATATGGATATATGGCTGAAGACAAAATGCTTTGGACAAGGACTCCTCCAACAAGACTGGCTCAACACACTGATTTCACTTATTTCAGACAATATGTCATGTCAAAAATGATGTTTTATCCAAATAGACCTGTTTTATACTACGAAGATGACTTCTTGTATGGTTTCTACGGAGCAGGAGCTGCAGCATATGTTAGAAGGTTCCTTAATGTAACAAAAGAAGTTGCTGATCTTCATCCTGAAGCATATATTAATTGTCTTGGCGGAGAAATACAAGGATTCCAAACAAATAACTATAATTATTACGCGTATTGGTTATGGGGTAAAGCTGTTGAAAAAGCGAAAGAAACAGGCTCTGAAAAACAAATATTTAATACAATGATGGCAGAACTTCCATCAGCAAATACAATTATTACTATGGAATCGAGAATGAAATGGCCATTGGTTGTTGATGAAGAAGGAAAAATAAGATTTAAAGGTTCTAAAATCAAAGAATGCGCCATAAAAATCTTGGAAAGATGTAAAGATCCTTATTACGTTGATAACTATACTAAAGGTATTTGTTCTGTTACAAGAGATCTTAATGCAAATGCCGCTAAAGTTTATCAGAATTTGGCATTTTGGAGGGATTCAAATCCAGCAGTTATAATGAAATCAGGAAATCTTAAAGCTATTTCTGGTGAAAACCCTGCTTATGGAAGAATTTTCTCTTTCACGAAAGGAAATACTGAATTTGTAGATAATATTGAAGGTATTGATTTCTGTATGTATGATTCATTTAAGATTACTTATCATATTAATTATGATATGAAAACAGGAACAAAAACAGATAAAACTGCAGCATTTAGTTTCGATTCGAATGATATGAAAATGGAAAAAACTTACACATTAAATGATAATTCATTAACAATGAATTGTAAGTTTACTAATAAAAAAGGAAGTGTTTTCCAGTCAAGACCAACTTTCTCTATTAATCTTGATTTAGGAGATAGTACAGATATCTTTTATAAACTTGGAAATGGAAACTGGGAAAGACCAGTTATTGATGAAGTTGCAACATACGTGAATCACTTCGGTAAACAGACAGGTTCACAATCAACATTATCAATTTGCAGTGGAAAGACAAAGAGAGGAATGAAATTTGACTTTTCCGCTCAAAAGATTTCATTTTTCTCTGTTTGTTTGAACAAATCCTCCAAGTTTGTTAAAGTTTATATTGGCGCAGAATTCGTTCAAGTTAATTCTAATGCAGCTTATGATAGTTTCTTAACATTGACAACATTAGAAAGTATTAGTAATTTACCATCAACACCAATGCCAAACTTAGAAACTCCAGGCAAAATTGTTCATTTCTATCCATTGTATTACATTAATGTTGGTTTCCAAAATTGGCAACCAACAAATGACGCGATGTCTTTCGTTGGAATTTCGGCATCTTCTTTATCAGGAGTTCCAGGTAAAAGTAGTAGGCTATCCTTTAGAGTCTGTCAAAATCTTCCAGAAGTATTTGGATTGCATGGAACATGGATGAATATGACATTTAGATCAAGATGCACAGAAAGAAATATGAGTCAACAATGGCCATGGTGGAGTGGATACACAAAACAAGGTAAAGATAATTACCAAGGATCTGAAACATGGATGGTTCCAAAGAATGATGTTTACTTTTATATACCTTTGAGGGAAATGAAGAATGCTACTTCTGATATCAATGTTTGGCTTGAATGCACTACAGTTTGCAAGAGATTTTGGTCAGATGGCTTCAAATTGGAACAAAGAACAGATTCATCAGCATACTATGGATACCCTGATACGAATTTCAAGTTCAATGATGATCTAGAACCAATGAAGGAGCCAAATATGACTGAATACATGCAAAATGCAGGAATATCTATTATTGAAACAAGTTCAAATGAAACAAATACAACTGAAACTGATGAAAAATCAGAGTCAAATAAGAAATCTAAAGCTGGAGTAATTGCTGGATCTATAATTGGTGCTTTAGTTGTTATTGGTGTCATTGTTGCTGTTGTATTTGTTATCATGGTAAAACGCGGTGAAAAATCTGATTCAGACAAAGACGTTGTAATGAAAGAAATAATGGTTTGATTTAAAAACTCTTTTATATACAATTATATAGTAGTATATGATGCGGGGTTTGTGACTTTTTTTGTAATCGTAAGAATTCATACATAATTGAATGATTTTTGAACATACTTCCGAATAGCAGATTTTAAAAATTTATGAATAATTTATAAAAAGTTTTTATTCCTACAATTCCTATATTACCATTAATAAAAAGAATATATTTTTGACGAAGTGAAGATTCGCACTTCGTCACAAAACTCCGAAAAAATAAAGTTAGATTTTTTTATTTAATATAAAATGTATGGAAAAAGAATAATATCTGATTTTGAACATTATTTGATTGATTTACTAATTGATCCACAAAGCTGTTGTAAAATTAATTTTGAATTTAAAATTAAAGGAACCGTAAATTTTGTATTTATTTATCACTTAAAAGAATATGACCGATATCATAATTTGATATATGAAACTAATATAATATTTGAAGATAACAAACTTACAAGCTTCGAACATGAAAATGATATAATATTCGAAGATGAAAAAAAGAAAGAGATTGAAAAGCAATTCAATGAATGCCTTTTAAATACATATGCGCACATTATAAGACATAAAATGAAATTAATTCCTTATTAATCAAAAATATTTTTTATCTTTATATAAAGATGACAAATAGAAAAATAATTTTTATCTGATAGAAATAATACCTACAAATGACGGTATATAAAAAATTGACTTCTTACGTAAAATTAAAACTAAGTTAAATTTATTTTTTTATTTTTTATTTTATAATAAATGAGTATAACAACTAATTCATTGAAATCTTTAAAGTTCACTAATTCAGAATTAGAAAATATTTTAGAAAATTTTGGAGACGGTTCTTATCCAACATATATGCAGAATGTGAAAGAGTTTTCCAGATTGTTGAATGAATTTAAATATAACGGACCAATTACTAAAAAGGCTATAATGAGATATTTATATCCCAAAAAAGTTGAAAAACAGGAGAATATTCCTCTTTATGGTCCAGAGGACCTGGGCTCAGAGAGCCTTGAAACACCTCCTGAATATTTTGAAGAAAAAATTAAACAAGATGAATATTATAACGATGAGATTGAGAAATTGGAACAATTAAGAAATGAAATAGATGAAAAATTAGTGAATTGAGAAATGCTGAAAATGAAGTAGGGTTTAATGAATATCCCAGCTTCAGAATCAGAAGTTCAAAAATCACATGAGGAAAGATATAAAAATTACTTTTTGGAATCAACTAAAAATTTATTAGATGGTGATATTGACGAAACACTTTCAGAAGAAGGCACAAAATTTATTCATAAACATAAGCTTCAATTTATTGACGATGGAGATTATCCATGTATATTACTTTCACCTCCTCTTGATTCTGAAAAATTCAAAAAAGCACTGAAAAATGTAACATATGCAACAAATACGATTAAGAAAGAAGACCATGATATTTACACAAATTATTATTTAAATAAATGTACAGGTGTTGATAAAGTTTTTGATTTGTTAGATAAAATATCAAAAGAAACAATTGGTACATATAAAATTTTATGCGATTGTGGTTTCATTGTTGAAGATACCGTTGATGTTTCATATGAAAGAACAGCTCCGAAGGAGGACGAAGTGGAAAGATCTATTCCATTCGTTATTAAGAACATAAAAGATATGAAAACTTATAAACATTATATTTATTCATTTATTTCAGAAAAAATGGAAGCAACACATAAATCATCTCGTCATCATTTCATAGCTATTCACACATTCCTTTTCAAAGTTGTGAAATTAAATAAGACAGGAATTAGATTTAATGTATCAGGTACGCATTCTTGAGTAAATTAAAATGTATTCGTCACGTGCAGATGATAAAAATTTGTGTGTTCTTAATTCATTTTATGGACTTTAGCCCTGGACTCTCTGAGTCTCGGACTTTAAAAAAATAAACTTTATTTTTATTTATTTTTTAATTTTTATTCTTACATAAATGAACAAAAATGGAACAGCTAAAATGAATGATAATCAAATAAGAGCGAAGGTAGAAGGTTATTTAAACGCTTCTATAACATTCCTGATGGTGTTAATCCTAAAACTCGTAGAAGTTATTTAAATGAAGCCATAGATGCATATGAAGGATTTGACATTTCATCAGAAAGTGAGAGGTTAGCAAGAATGTTAAACGTTAATATTGATTTTTATTATTGTGACCCTCAACCAGAAGACGTAGACATTAACAAGGTAGACTTTCCATTAGTGGAATCAATAATGATAGATCCAGAATTTGAAACAGTAAATATTTTATTAACACAGAGTCCATGTGGAAAACTTCACGCTGACAGAATAACAGACGTTGAAGCACTCACAGGATATAAAGTTTGTCCTTTTGCAAAGAAGAAGTATATTCTATCCGTGATGATCCAGAAAGGAAAAACCAAAGAAGATTTTTAAAACATTGTGAGAAATGTAAAGAAAATAATGGAAGATTAATTCAAGACGTTCAATTGCAAAACACACACAACCATATGCACCACATATCACGAAACAGAAGATATATCAGTGGCTATTAGCACAATTTGCAGGAATATTATAAACCAACAAGATATTATATTACTTTTGACTTCGAAACATTAGAGACTAAAGAAGAACTTCAACTTTCTGAATGTGCAACTTTGAACGCTTACTTAAAACCATTTATGGTATCATCAACGGTTAAATTAAACGATAAAACATATACAAGGAATTTTTGCTTAACTTCGAGTGATTCGTTCATCTCTTTGATTGAATTTTTATTTTCAACCTGTTCATTAGTTGCTAAATCAAATATTGAACAATATGAAGAATTAATGAAGTCCCATACATTAAATGAGAAACAGAAGGAAGCAATGAAAGAGCTTTTAGATGAAGAATTTAATAAAGTGAATATCATTGGTTTTAATTCGGGAAAGTTTGATTTAAATTTAATTCTTCGTGATTTAAATACTGCAAAATGGAAGATAAAATCAATGCTGGGTTCTTCTTCTCAATTTAAGCAATCATGTAAAGAAAACAAACGTCCATATGAATTGAGATTTATTGACATCAGAAATTATATAGCGGGTGGAACATTAGACCAATTCACTCAAGATTTCGGAAACAATAAATCACGTGTTAAATCTTTTTCCCATATCAATTCATCACATGGGAGAATTACGAAGAAGAATTATATAAAAAGGAACCATTCACTCAAGATTCATTTTATTCAGCATTAACACAAGAAACAATATCCGATTCAGATTATCAAATATATCTCAATGATGCTAAAAATTTGAGAATAGATTAGAATATTTTATTCATTATTGCAATAAAGACGTTGAAATTATGATTGACCCAATTGATAAAATTATTGAAGAAACATTTGTTTATAAAATTGACATGCTCCATAATCTTTCATTATCATCTAATGCATCAATGATTCGTTACGCGTTAGCATATAAGAACTTCAATCCTAACGAAACATATCCAGAAGAAGAAAATGTGGAATCAAGTTTTGAATTAACGAAAAAGTATTGGAAATATAAAATTGAATCATATAAGAAACAAGATGAAAAGGCGAAAAGAGATACCAAAAACAATGTTTCAATGGATGACTATCAATATTTTCACGATTTAATCCTTTCATCTAAATGCAAAATGTGTGGTAAAGCGTTTACATATGCAAATAAACCAACATTGGATAGAATCGATAATGAAAAACCACATACTAAAGAAAATTGTCAGTTAATGTGTTGTTATTGCAATGTCGTGAAATCAAATAAAGATGAAGACATTCAACGTTTAAGAATTAATTTAAGAAATTATGCATTAAAAAATAATTTACCAATGACTTTAGATTCAGTGGAAGCGTATCACATCCTCCGTAATGGAATTACTGGTGGTCTCTCTAATGTTCAACATCGTGTTAATCTTAAAGGAATCACCACATATTAATAAACTTTCATATAATCCAGAAACTAAAACAGTATCAAATGAGGACACTTCCAACATCATGACTCATTTCGTTGGTGTTGATTTCAATTCATTATATCCTTCATCATTTTCATCAAATCCTCATGATTTCATTCAATACACCGATCATAATGTATATGCCGGGAAGATTGAAATGTTTTAATTTGTGATACAGCAACAAAGAAAGCAAAAGCTAGGAATTATTAGAAAGAAAAATACTTTATTCGTGGCTGAAGTAAAGGGTCACATTGATGAAAAATACATTAATGATTACATAAACTTTTTACCGATAATAAGAAACTTAGATATTATCACAGATGAAAAAACAATTGGTGGTTTTATGTATAATTACATGAAATCAAACAATCTACCGGTTGACCAGAAACAGAGAAAATTAACTCAGTTAGCATCAACACACAACCAATATCAACCATTTTCTTCTTATTATCTTTGGTATCTAATAGACAGATTTCATTTTATCATCGATGATATTCAATCAATTTTAACATTTACGAAAAATACTTGTTTTAATGAATTTGCGAACAAATTTATGAACGAAAGACAAAAGGCTGAATTAGAAGGAAATAAAGGAAAAAGTTTATTTTGCAAATTTCACTTAATGGATCATATGGTTACGATGCAATGAATACACAAAATTACGCAAAGACTAAAATAATGAATGCACAGAAGGCACGCGTTGCATGTATGTCAAATAAGTTTAAAAACATAAGAGAAATAGGTGAGGATACATATCAAGTGATGCTCAAAGATAGATTTTATAGATGTGATACATGTTTACAAGAGGCATTCTTCACTTTAGATAATGCTAAATACTGGTATTTGGTTTTCATTTATGATTTTATGTATAAATGCATGGATGTTAATCGTTTTCATTTCATTGAAGGTGATACTGATTCATCTTATTGGGCAATCGCTGGCGACCCAAATCTTCCTAACACTCAAGCATTTCAAGCAATTGTAACCGATAAACAATTTTATGATAAAAACATTTTCAAATTCGCACCTTTTGATTTCTTCTGTTTTGATGAGAAATTTAAACCTAAATTAAAGAATAAAGCTGAAGAAAAAGCACATGAGAAAATTATTGGGTTTAGCAATTGAGAAACAAGGTGATAACATGGTTGCTTTATGTCCTAAGTGTTATACATCATTCAACGGAATGATTGGTGAAGACTCCTTCAAAAAGATTGCACAAAAAATGAAAGGTGTAAGTTTACGACAAAATAAACAATTAACACCTAAAAATTATTTGGATATAATAAATGATAAAGTCATTTTGATGGTCAAAATATTAATTTACAACTTAAAAATGGGTCAATGACTCGCTTAACAATTGGTAAGACTGCATTAACAGGAGCACACACTAAAGCTGTATGTTGTGAAAATGGATGTTGTATGCCATTTATTTAATGAAATGCCACAGAAGAGACAAAGAGGTGGGCACCCATTAAACATTGATTTTATTTTTATATAAATGAATAGCGCAGATTTAAAAATTTAATTGATGATTTAGTATTTAATCAAAATTTTCTTAGTTATTATGAATTAAAATCATATCTCCAAAAACATGATAAAAATATAACGGGTGATGATATGGATGAATACTATCGGTATTATAAAAACTAAATTTTGAAATATCATGATAAAATAATTAAACATTTAAGAGAGAACATTAAAGAAGGAAAATATTCAAAGGGAAAAAGTAAATCACAACTTAAACAGTTGAAAGATTTCAAAAATAAAGTATTAACTGAAAAAGATATTGATGAATTATATAATTTATATAATCCTGACCGCAAAAGCAAAAAGAGAAAAGTTTGGACGTTCAGCAGCTCATAAATGAAGCACAAGCTTTAATTTATGATTCATTAGTTAAAACATATTCACCCGACTTTTAAATGAAGATCAACTTTTGGAATTCATCCTTCAACATAAACTCGAAGCGGGAAAGTATATCAAACCTTTATATACAGCATATTTAAAACAAATGAATAGAATACATCCAGAATTAATGAAGGGGGAATGAAATCCAAAATCAAAGCAGATAAAATTAAACCACTTGCAACACCAAAACCCCAACGACAGTACCTCCAACGACAGTACCTCCTCCTTCAGTTAATCCTTCATCATTCACTTTATTATATCCATTTCAAACATTAAAGAAACAAAAAGATTTTAAAAAGGGTTTCAAGATATTAAATAAACCAATTGACCCGAAAATTCAACCATTAAAAGAAAAATTTAGTCGTCCATCATTTGCACCTTCACCTTATTCATACGAAATCGATCATCTGGAATATTCAAAAGGAAATATTACTTATTTATTTGCCATTAACATTAACACTAGATATTTATATTGCATTCTGGTGAAAGGGAAAACAGAACAGGAAACAAGAAGAGCTATACAATACTTACTAGATCATGAAAGAGTAGATAATATAAGGGGTGATGGTGATAAAGGATTTCAGGCAGCCATGATTCATTATTTCCCACAAATTAATTTTTACTTTTCATCCTCTCCATATACTTTCATAATAAAATAGTTGATGCGGTAATGAGAACTCTTAGAGATGCGTTAGGGGTTAACGGTCAGATATACTGGGATGGAAATCATGACTCCATCATACAACAGTTAGTATATTATTACAATAATACATGGCATAGAACTATTAACATGAAACCAGTGGAAATGAAAAATGATATTTCAAAAGAATGGGAATATATTAGAAAGCAAATGGAAAGGTTGAATGATGTTAAACGTGAACAAATTAATTCGGGGCTCATGAATTTTAAACAAGGGGATAAAGTTTTGATTCATCTCGATTATGGAAAAACTGATAAATCAATGACAAAAAGAAGACGAAGATTTGACACAATAGCTGAATTTGTTAGATATATTAACGGCAATGCATTAGTTGAGGTTAACAATAAATTAATAGAAATTCCGATTTATTTTATTACTCCATTATATTTAAATAATATTTAATTTTTTTATTTCGTAAGAAATGAGTGACAACGAAGCAGCCAAGAGTCCAGACGATGAATATAAAAAGAAACTAAACAGAATTAAATCAAAAATATGCTATTACAAAAAGAAGCCGCAATGTGGTGGGGTTGAAAACGATAAAGAAATAATCGAAAAATTAGAAACTTACCGTTCAATCCTTAAACTGAGTGAAGCAAAAATAAAAGAATTTAATAGAATAAATAAATTGATTGGAAGAGATGAATTTAATAAAGATGAATTTTTAAACTCAATCCAAATTTAATTTTTATTCCTCTTTGACAACATCTCTCTTTCCATCATTACTGCATAACCGCATTTTCTCAATTTTAGTGGTTTGTTATTTTTAACATGTTCTTGCATCATTTTTATCATTTCCTCCCTTGTTATGATTCGTGGTAAATTTTGAGCTTGTGGGGTATCCATTTATGATAAAAATAAAAATTTAAATTATGCTGTTCAATGAACTCTATACCATGCGAATACAGTCATAAATGGTGGCATGTATTCTTTACTTTGTCCCGTTGTTTGTGTATATCCTGAAACGAAATGTGTATGGTTTCCTTCTCCCTGAGTGTCACTCCAGTAACAATTTATAGCAAACTTAACGTCGTCTTTAACATCATATCCTTTACCTTTTGTCATTCCTGACCAATCCCAATATCTATGCTTATGCCAACCTGCTTGGGATGTACTTAAATCTATGTAGTGACTGTGTGCAGGTAAATTTTCACCTGAAATCGTTTTACTTCCTCCTGTTTCCTTTGAAGAGTTTGCACAATACAAAAACCTGTCAACTATTTGTTCCCATGCACCAACACCAAACATTACTTGAGGACCTCTTGCATCCATAGATGTATAAATAGAACCTACTGGGTTCATTAAATCAAACATATGAGATATTATAGGATTGTCTCTTTTGAACTTAAAATATAGTGCAACTATTTCAGGTTTCTTCTGGTTTGTGTCAGAATATTTTTTATAATATAATCTTATGTTTTCAGGGTAGGTAAAATCTTGACTATAATATTTATTTCTGTCATCTGTATAATAATATACTATTCTCGTTTTTTCTATTGCATTATATCTTTTATATCTATAATAATCTAAATATAATGTTAGCTTTTGTTCATCTACATGTGGTGTTCTGTCGTCATCTCCATAGTCATAATAATATGGTGCTGGAGCTGGGTCAGACAATGTCATATCTGCCATTTCATAAACTCTTAAATATTTCTTTTGTTCGTCTCCATATAAGTTTAAGTAGCAGTTGTTGTCTAATGGAACTTTAACTTGTGTACCATCGTTCTTTTTATAGCTTACATACATTTCATTGTTATTTTTCGGAATGAGTTTATATCGTATACCATTTTTTAAGGAGTGTACAAACTGCCATCTAAAATATTTATTTTCTTCATTGACAAAAAAGTCACCAACAATAGTTTCAATATTTTTTGTTGTTCCTATCAAACTTTGGTATATTTCGTTAACATATGTTTTATCCGCCTTCTTCTCTAACTCATCGTTAACATAAGTTTTATCTGCTTTAAGGTCTAAACATCCTGAAACCCATCCTGTATCAGCTTTAACTTTAAAAGTCTCAAATGTCCATTCCTTATCCGCCTTCTTCTCTAACTCATCGTTAACATAAGTTTTATCTGCTTTAAGGTCTAAACATCCCGAAACCCATGCTGTATCAGCTTTAACTTTAAAAGTCTCAAATGTCCATTCATGATACCATTCAACCTTTTCTTTAATTTCATTATCTTTTTCATCAACATAAACCAAATTTGCCTTCTTATTTAATTCACTATCCACATATTCCTTATCTACCTTCTTCATTATGTCATTTAGGAAACCTTTTATGAATTCCTCATTTAAATTAAATCTTCCAATCTTCAAAACTTTAGGAAATGCATTTAATGCGTAATATCTCTGTTCTTCTGGTGGAATTGATGTTATATCATCCGTTATTCCTTTAATTTTTGAATTCATAAATAAAATTTCTTTTATATTTGATATCACTGCACCACCTTTGCAAACGAATTCAAAATGGTCATTTTTCAATACTATCTCCAAATCTCCATATTTCAACCTTTGCGTTTGTTCTGCCGTCTTTGAATTATATGCATATGTGGCGTATGTAATGGTCTGAAGGACATGGGTGTTTTGTGCCTTAAGTTGTTGTGGTTGCTGTTGTTTAATCATTTATTACGATTTAAAAATAAATATTTAATCCGTTATCTCATCAGCTATTTTTTCTATTTGAAATTGCCATAATATTTCATTCATAAATTCTAAATCACAATCAAATAGGTCAGTTATTCTAAATTTAATATTTGATAAATCTTTTGAATGAAGAATAAATGAATTCCCGGATAATTGAAACGGATAAGATAAAGAAAATGTGTTTAAGTTGATGGATAAAATGTTTTGTATTGATGGGTAAGAGTTAGGGTCTAATGTTTGATGTGAAAATCTCATTGGGGTATTAACTTTATCACATTTGATTAAAATGAAATTGGAACCAGTGTCAGAATACAAAACATCCCCAACATCTTTTTCAAAATTTAATATCCCCAACAATGAACGAAGACGAGGAGTACAAAATTTAATTTTCAGCGGAAATTTAATAAGATTATTTATTTCATCAAATTCAAAAAGTTTATCAGGTTTTGATTTAAAATTTTCTTCATACCATACGATAAATGATTCATTTAAATAACTTAAAATCATGTTAATATCCCATTTCACTATCACATTATTTATATACATATCATACGTTTTTTCATGGTCATCTTTAATAAATGATATATAATCTGAAGGGTCTAAAAGAATGGGATTAAATTTACCACTCACAGAAACGAGAGTAACATTATAAATTCCGCTAACTGTTAAATTTAATTCACAGTTATTATTCGAAATAATATTGATAATTGACATTTTTATTACGATTAAAAATATGGTAAAGCGTTATTTTCCAGTGATAAATAAAACTAGAATAAGATTACCTCAAGAATTCATAAATTCAACGAATAAGAAATTCATTCATGTTATAAATTTTAGTGTTTTCAGAAAATATGAGTCGATGTCATATTCATCAACAGGTTATATTTCACTTCATTCAAATTTAGTTCAATCAAACCCATATAATGACCATTTCATAAGATTTTCAGATGGTATTAAAAATGTAATTGATAGATTAAAATATGAACAGATTGACAATATCGAATTTTTGGAATTTTGGTTTAAATATCCCGATGGAAAAAAGATTGAAGTTAAAGATAAAGCAGATACTATAACAAAAACAATTACAATGACTGATCCGGATAGTGGGGAACAAAAAGAAATAAAACAAACGATAGAAACTGGTGAAAGGTCAATTATTATTGATTATGATTCAAAGGATTATTATTCGATAATGTTAATGCTTGAATATTAAATAGCCTTAACAAAGAATTTTTCAAGTGATATTTTATATTCATCAACTATTTTATTATAAATATCATTATATGTTAAATGAAGTTCAGTTGTTGTTCCGTTCTTTGATATCTTAATTGTGCTAATATCCTTTATAGGATTTATTTTTGCAACTGTTCCGCAGCATGAAACCTCATCATCTATGAAAAATTGAATCTTAACGTCTGAATCTTGAACATCACAAAGAATGGCGATAATGTGAATTAATGATTCATAAGGTAAAATAATTAAACCGGATTGGTCAATTAAATTTATTATTGAATCATAATTATCAGTTATGATATATCGCGAATATTTTCATTAATTCAGAATTAATGTCTATTTTATATGGGTTATCAAGTGGTGCTGGGTATGTTGGATAAGTGGGAATTTCAACAGGTTCTTTACCGGGTTCAGATAAAATGATTGGGTCTCCATCTTCTTTATTTTGCTCCTCCTTCTTTCGGTAAGTCACGAGTTAATAAATTTGGTTGAGTTGCTGCCCTTGTTAATTCAGGACTAACATTAACTTTAACATTTTGAATAATTCGTGATTTATCATCATTTACATTATAACCAACCGTAATCTCTGCTTTTGCGTTTGTGTTCTTTTGACTTGTGAAACGTCTTCTCATTTATAATTGAATAAAAAAAAGAAAAATATATTTAAAGTTTTATTTAGTTGTTACGGTAATATCCCAAGGTTTATCCTTGTTTGCTTATACTTTCTTTGTAACTGCACCAATTATGTTATTGATAATGATTTGAGTTTCTTCCAGTCTTATTTTATCATTTACAATATCTTTAATCATTTCATTACATGCATTCTTAAAATCATCTGATTTTTCTAATTTACGTCTATCACTTTCTTTAATTAAATCAAAGTTATATCCTTGTTGAGAATAAAGTGGTTTCTTTATCAATTCCTTGAATGCTTCTGAAAGTGAAGATGAAGAAATTCTTGCCACTTGAATTGGTTTAAATTTTGCTTTCATTGCTTCTTTCTGTTCATTGAACACTGGATCGAATAAAGCAACTTTAAAGAATTTCTTAGCTGGAATTTCAGGTCTCAAATTTGCATATTGACCATCAAACTGATTAACATATTGAGGTAATCCGTTTGGTCCTTCTTCAATAGCATTTAATTCTTCATTGAAATAAGAATATGGATTATGACGGTATGAATTAATTGGACCATTTTCACCTTCTCCAATGTATTGTTTAACAGCTTTTCCATTTTCATCAAATTGCATAGGATAACGTTCATTATATGCTTTACGTTTAGGATAATCCGTCATTGTTAATTTATACCCATTTATGACTTTAATATTTCCTTGACCATCAGTAACAAAGACTTCATTTATTCCATCAGGCTTTCCATTTGGTCCTGTAATGTCTGCTTCATGTGCTTCCCAATTTGGTCCATGACGTTTGGCATATGCTTGAGCTTCTGGTAATGTTAAAACGTTTCTCATTTGTTTAACATCCTTTTGAAGACCGGCAACAATGTGGACTAATTCTTTCATTCCGTCTGGAACTTTAATAGTTCTATTATATGCACCTTTTTTGTTTGTTCCTTGTTTTAATGGAACCTGTAGAAGATTTGCAATTTCTGTCATGTTTAATTATAAATAAAAAATAAAAATTAATTATAAAAAAGTTATTCGAATTTAATGGAACCTTTATTTAAATCAACTATTATTTTTCCATGTTCTCCTAATTGTTGATATTGTGTGTAAAGTTCATTAATGCTCATTGGTAAATTCACTTGATAAAGCATAACGTTCAACTGTTGACGACTAAACCACTGAAAATGAAAAGGGTGGACAGGTTTGATTTAATGTTTGTGCTTAATGCTTTAAAGTATTGAACAGCCATAAAGAATGAACACTGAATGTGTCGACATTGAGTTAATAATTGATTAAAATATGATTTCTCATTAGTTATTAGTTTTGATTTCACGGCATCATCTAGAAAAATTAGTGAATGCAAAAATTCTTTATCAAAATTTGAAATAGAAAGTGTTTCAAATAATTCATCCCTTTGTTTATCAATAATTTTATCCTCTAATCCTTGCTTCTTGATTGTATTATATAATTCTTTATACATTAAAAAGTTTTTTAAATAATCTTCTGCTTCTTCTTGTGATAAATAAATAATTGGAATTTTGATTAAATGCTTTAAAGATTCAAATGTATCATCTGAAGGTGAACCTGAACGGTTGATATAAATTAACACATGAATAGGGAAGTGTTAGCAATAATGATAATTTGTTTTAATATCGTTAATGTTTTACCTTTATTTTGTTTACCAATTGCTGCAGTGATTGAATTTAAGTAACATTCAGAATATGGAATTTTCATTAATTTTTCCTTAGATAGAGCATTTCTATTATCACTCAATGCTTCATTAATCATATCATCTATGTATGTATTATATACTCCTGTTAATTCTTCAGAATTTAAATCCATTTAATCAAAAATAAATTTATAATTTTAAACATTTCTATTCATCAATATTTGATCATATGAACTTCTATACTGTGGTGGTGTACCTGTTGGATGATATTTCAAACCTTCATCCGGTGTCCATGTCCAATATGTAGTCCTAGTAAACCAAACCTGAGGAGGATTTGTCACCTTTGAACAGTAAGTGTCATTTTCACCCTGAATGATTGGATAAGCTTTCACTTGTACTGTAACTTGTGAGTTGAAAGTTTCTAATCCATCAAAGAATATACCCGCTCCATCACGTTGAACTGGAATAGTGCATAAGAATGAAGTTTGGTCTTTCCATGTTCTAGCTAATGGCGTGCCATCATCTCATTCAGTGGTCTAGTTAATGAGTCCTCGTATTCTTCTGTGCATTCA